TGCTCACCGTCGTCCTGCCCTCCAAGTCGATGAAGAACGAACGCATCATGGAGACGCTCATGGTGCAGGTGAATCTGGGCACCTACCGGATGCCCGAGTTGGATGCGTACCGTCAGCAGTTGCGCCAGCAGGAGTCCGCCGAGGCCACCGTCCAGGTCCACCGGGGTGGATGAGACAGTAAGAATGTGAGTTTCGATTTGGAGCAGCAGCAGCAGCAGGAGCAGCAATCGGATTCGGATGCCACAGTAGCCAGTAGCCATCACCATCTAAATCAGAATCAGAACCAATCCTCCATCGATGCCCGTGCGTATGCCATGGCCTCCCTGGCCGCCGCCCTCGAGATGCAAAACCAATCCCATCCGCCCCGCGACGCCGCCGACGAGGAGGTGGAGCTGTATGCCAGCTTCGATAATGCGCCGAGCACCAGTCGGGTGGCCGCCCAAATGCAGGCCGCCAAGGAGGCGCGCCGCAAGAGATGGGCGGCCGACGGGGCCAGCGGGAGCAGCGGGGACGGCGGATGCGCCAGCGGCAGCAGCGGCAGCGGTCGGCGTTACTAAGTCAATGGGTGTGTGACCCCCTCCCCCTCGTGTGACTGAGTTCAAATCTAAACCGAATATACAGAAATTCGCCAAAACAAAAAAAACAACCCACTATTTCCATAATTCCGAATTTATTACCACTGTGCAGCTAGAACCAGTTGAGAATTATAGCCTGGTAACAAACTATCCTACAAAAATTGGCCTACATATGTGTAAAAAAAATGTACAAAAATTAAATGGCGAATTTCTGAGTGAGTTTAAATCTAAACCGATTATACAGAAATTCGCCAAAAAAAAACACCACCTTTTCCGTAATTCCGAATTTATCACCACGGTGCAGCTAGAACCAGTTGAGAATTATAGCCTCGTAACAAACTATCCTACAAAAATTGGCCTACATATGTGTAAAAAAAATGTACAAAAATTAAATGGCGAATTTTTGATCTATTTAACGAGTGAATCTGTTCAGTGATTGGAGGAATATTGATATTTTACATAACATTAAAATTAATTCTATTCCAGTTCTGAATCTTGTAAGTTTTCATTTGCCAAATATTTTCTTACATCGCTTCATTTTTCAACATCACTAACCACATGCCTTAGCTTAAATAAAACATATTTATATTTTTTAACTTCTAATTTTCATTCGAAATTTATTTTTTTCAGTTCCTCGAGTTACTTCTAAATCATTTGGCGCCCGCGGGTGGACATTTTTAAGCTTCGCTTGTGAAAGTTAAATATATTCTCATAAAGTTGTTTTCTTTTTTATAATTATAAAATATTGTAAAAGGAATTTTTCTAAAACTAAATTTTTATACCTAGGTAGGAAATGATTGATACTTGCAAAGATACTTCTGATCACTGTGTGTGACTGGTTGTGTGTGTGTTTTTTGGTGTGTGTTTGACCCATTGCTCGAAGAGACGCCCGAACCATCCAAATCGAAACTGACATTGTTAACTCTTACATTCACCCCGGAATGACAAGAGCCCCCGATTTTTAGGGGGATATATAGAGAGAGAGCGGAGGGAGACGGCGGCCCAACCCCACCCCCTCCCGCCCCCCTCTACAAAAGATAATGGTGGAGGATCCAGATCCAGATCCAGATCCTGGCAACGGCATAAGAATTTTCTACAAGTATTATCCAACATGATCGTACGATTGACTAGTCTGTTAAGCAACCTCTGTGGCATTCGATTTTTGATACCCACGCAATCGAAGATAACAAAAAAAAATTTAATAAAATGCAGCAAGGAAAAGCATTCGCAAAAAAAAAAGGAAAAAACAGAAAAGAAAACAAAAACAAACGCTTACTGATGTAAAACAAAGACTTAAAACTAAAAAAAAAAAAGGAAACCAAATTAATATGAATATAAAAGGTAAAAGAATTTTTTTAATCAATGTTATTGAACAATGTAAGCTGAACAAAAGAACACATTTCACATCTCCTATTCCAGTTCCCCATTCCAAATTCCTTCAGTAAACAAAGAAAAAACCCCAAAAGTTACCCAATTTATTACCTAAGAAAATACTATATGATGTACTTAAATGTTCATGAGAATTGCAAGCATAATCTGTGTAACTGTTTAAACGCTTTTTTTGTTCTGTTTTTTGTATTGTCTGTTCATTTGTTACTACCAAAAGCCAAGGAAGCATATTATAAATAAGTATCTACATTTCAAGGCCTGTACATTAAATACTGGTAACTATAGTTATGCTAAACTGTAAAATTACCATTACGAGAGTCCAGAGAACCAGAAAAACCGTTACATAAGTGCAATATCTAAGTGTATGTTTGTATAGCCAATAAAGTACTTGACCTAAGAAATAGTCCCCGCAAAAAAAACAAAAAATATATCTAAAAACAATCTCTACAAGAGCAAAGCAGCCAAATTGGAATTACTTCCGAAAGATTGGAACCGAAAAACCCCAGAAAACCTGAACAGAAATTCAACTTAGGGCCGTAGAAGGCCAAAGCAAACCATAGATTAAACTAAAAAACACAATATACAACCAAATAAGAGATCCTAACAATGTGTTAAGTAAAATATACAAGATCCATAGTCAAAATCGTTTTATAGATCCCCTGGGAAATCAGTCAATCCTGCACAACATTTTGTATTATTGAATTCCACTTCTCTGAAAGTAGGTTCATAATTTTAATTCCACTTACTTTTACCGCCTTTAACCGCATTTTATTTCTGTATACTTAATCTAGGGACAAACTCTTGCCCCACGCGAATTCTTCAGTTGCCAATCTCGTACTCAAGTGAGAAAAGCCCAATTTTTGATCAATAAAATAAACAAAGCTAAATCTGATGCAACAGGAAAACTAAATGTAAACGGCAGCATTTCCAAAAGGGTTTCACTTAAATGTTCAAAGACGCATATATCAAAATTCAATATCTAACTGTACAACCAAGTTTATCAAGTGTCTGGCAGGTCATACATATATAAGCATAAGTGTAAGCAATTAAAATATTAAATCCTCGAAGAAAACAGCCCCGGAAACCAATAAATAAACGCTTTCAATGTGCGAAAACCGAATAACTATTAATGTTTAAAACAAAACAAAAAAGAACAGCTAAACAAGAACTAAAAAGATAATAAACTGAAAAATAAAATTAGGGTCTTGGAAAATAGTGACAGGCAAAAGTTTTGATGAAAACACTCTTTGAAGTATTTTGAGACAGAAACAGAGAAGGCCGATTGCCGTTCAATTTAATGTTAGTTATACAAAAGTTGTAAGTTTTTTTTTTGTGTTGATTAATCTACAGAAAAACAAATAGCAACAGGTTTAAATGGGCATAAAGCATAGCTGTATTTTTACCGTCGCCCTATCGACTCAAATATACTGTTTGAACTGAATGTACTCATCTGATTAATATAAATGTATTTACCGCAGATATCCGATATACCGAAAATAAACAATAAGTGCTGTTTCCATACGTTTGTTCCGATCAGCAGATCAGCACCGCCCACCGCCCCTCTGCCGTAATTAACCCACCCAACCACCGGCAGGCAGAGTGGTGCAAGTGGGGCATACTTTTGATAGCAGATAACTTGAAGAGAAAACAAAACAGGCAGGAAATCGAAAAACAAAACACCCACTCAGTGTGAAGCCGCGACTCCTTTTGAGCTGACGATATCTACAATATAGCCAAAAAATAAGAACATAAAAAACAGATAAAACTAACAAAAAAATACATTTGTTTAATTGAAGAACAAAACTCAATTGAATGCGGAATAATGCTAAATAAATGTTGTAATTGCCAGAGCCAAGCATAACAGGAAAAAATAAAATAAAAGTAAAAAAATATTACAAGAATCAATTTTTAATTTTATGGTAAGAGGTAAGTAAGAATATATATTTTCCAAAGATATTTTTTAACTACCTGAAATCAAAGTAAAACAAAGTTCTCTGGTTTCGGTATAATGATTTATTGTTTTGTTTTTATTTTTATTTCTTTTAACTGGAAGGGTGGAAGCTAAGAACTAGAAGAAATGGTTTCGGGCCTTTGGGTTTCAGCACCTGAAGCTGTTCTAAAATATCTCGAAAAACTCGAATGGCTTTCTTTATTCCCCGTACATAAGCAATTCCAATTGTTCCGTTAATCTGAGCAGTTTTTATCTTCAGACTTGCTTATATTCTCGAAGAAATAACCAATCCTTTCCACCCCTTTTTAAATGAAAAACAAAACGAAAATTGAATTTGAATTGTTGCTTGTTGCCGCTTACATAATAAATTAAACAATTATAATAATCAGTACAATAATTCCATTGTTAATGTTGTTTGTTTGTTTTTGTTGTTGTTGTTGTTGGTTTCCCTTCCACTCAGCATACAAGTTGATGTTTAATGAAATGTATAAACTAAAACAAATTGCAAACAGCAAAAGCAAATGCAACGACTCTTTGCACTTCGCCTCCTCTCTTCTCTATATACAAAGCTACAAATCATTTGAATTTCTTTCCTTTATACTTTCTGTTGGATTATGGATTGGATTTTCGCCATATATCATCGATTTAGCTATTTTGTTGTTGTTCTTTAGAGCTACGGTTAAATAATTTACGTTGTGTAAAGTGTAAACTTTTGATTACAGAGTTACAGAGTTACCATTGAAGGAGATACAGACACAGATAAAGAGATATATGTATATAAGAGGGAATAGATTTGGATACAGGGGGCTTCGAACAGAATTGCTTTCAACTATTGCACTAGTATCGGATGTGTCTATATAGATCCTCCCAGATATATATATGTCTATGTACAATTTGGAGCTGCGCAACGAATCTGATTGCTTAGCAGATTGCCTGGCTCAAGCACTTAAACACGTATAAGACTTTTGAACACTTTCGTTTGTCATCAATCACATGTCCACGGGTATTCAGCTCTGATCGTCGTCGATGCTCCCGCCGCACCAGCTGCAGCTTCAGATCGAGATCCTGATCCTGGTCCTGATCCAGATCCTCCTGGCCATTCATTCCTATCCGAATACAAGCTGGCATACGATCCGCTGGCCGAGCACGTCCGACGACCGATACCGCAACCGATGCGCCGGTTCATCCCAGTCGGATCGGCATATGCCGGCATCGACAGCGAGTCGCCGGCCGCTGACGCCGCGACGGCGGGCAGGGAGATGGGCTCCAGCAGCTCTGCCCCCTCCGGATGATCAGCGGCACCGGCGGCATCGTCGTCGAAGCCGTACCAGCATCACATGACCATGATTTGCAGCGCCACTCATTGATCTATTGTGCGGTAGATGCGTCTCTGGGGCTCGGGTGTGTAGTGGATGCGGGTGCGGAAGTGCTGCGGCGATCCCGGCACGCTTTCGGATCCCCGACGCGGCGGCGGCAGCGGTGGCGAGGCCGAAACATATCTGAAATGGAGAGGGAGACATGATTCAGAGCGGGATGGCATGAGCCTAGTCTATTCTACAAATATTAGGATCTTATAAATTTTACAGAGGAAAAATCCGCGAATTCTTTAGAACAAAAATCTACATAACCTTGAATTAAGCAAACTTGGAAGACTGCAAACGTCTAATATTCGAATATTAAGATCTTATAAATTGTACAGAGGATAAATCCGCGAATTCTTCAGAACAAAAATCTATACAACTTGGAAAACTTCAAAGATAAGTCCAAATGAGTACTTTAACTAGTTTAATCCTGCTCTCTAATGGCTATCCAAACCCTAGACCCACCTTCTGTGCAGAAGCGGCGAGCCAGGAGGCTGGCCACTCAGCTCCAGCAGATTCTTGCGCAGCAGCAGCGGCGATTGTCCGCGATTGTAGCGCGGCGGTGGATCCGGACTGCGGTGCCTGCGATCCAATCCGGCCAAGATGTGCGGACTGGGCGGCGTGCTGATGCTGCCACCGCCGCCGCTGCTGGTCATTCCTGGTCCGCTGCTAGCGTAGCGTCGCAGGAAGCTGCTGGTGCCGCCACCAGGCAGAGGTTCCGTCGTCGGCGAAGTGCTTTGGCTGGTGTTGCTGCTGCTGCTGGCCGCCGACAGGGTGCGATAGTAGTAGGACTTGCCGCCGCTGCCGTTGTTGCTCACGATGCTCCTGTAGGCCGGCGGCTGCGGATGCACTGGCTCCTGATCCCGATCCATGCTGGCCGACGCCGCCGACGCCGCCACCGGTGACGTGGCTGTGGAATTCAATTGGGTTTTAACATAGGTGGCAAACTGCCGCTTCATGGCGCCGGCGAGGGTGTTGAACCAGCCTGATCGATTGGTTCGATTCGTTTGGATTCGTTGGATGAAGATGAATTGAGTGAAGTGATGATGGGTGGTGATTTCATGGTGATGCAGTGCAGTTTTTGGTGTGCGGTGTGCAGAAAACGAAGAGAGAATGAAACGAAACGGAAATGGAAAATGTATAAATACAAGCGCAAATTAATAGCGTTCAAAGCGAAATCAAATATACTATAATATATTAAATATTTATATAGTGTTGAAAGTAGTATAGATTTAATTCCATTTTTAAATTGTATGTATTTAATAAGAATAGGCTTTTGTTATATTTATTTAAAATTGAATTGCAAAACAAAAAATGTATAAGAAAAATTCATATATTAAATAGATTGAAATACCATTTGTCAAAATAAGAAACCAGAAGTATTGCAGATTAATATTTAGAATATTTTTTAAAATTAAATAAGTATTTTATGTAGTAAAAAAACATATTTCGTGAACTATGATATGGCAATTTAATTGCTAAATTCATGAGAAGTGGCTCACCAGCATCGTGCTGCTCGCGGGAGCATCCATCCAGGCTGCTGCTGCTCGCCCCGCTGCTCGAACTCTGGCCCAAAAGCTGCCGGCGGGCGTACAGCTTGCTCAGCTTGCTGGCCACCATGGAACTGCCGCCAGCGCCGTAGTCCGACTGCTGAGGATCCGGGGATCTGGGCAGCAGCGTGGGACTCGTCGCCGTTGCCTCGGCGGCAATGGGCAGCGGTTGGTACTGCAACGGCTCACCATTGCCACCGGCTCCAAAGTGACCAGCTGCTGCATCTCCTCCTGATCCCGTCGATGGTGACAGGCTGGCGGGATTGACGGCGATCTGCGAACACGTCGACTGCGTGGAGGACTGACTAGAGGTCGAGTGCGTCGATGGCGGCGGCGGCACATAGTTGCTGTGAAACGGATTCGTGCTGGTCACTCCGATGGTCTGCGGCTGCTGGCGCTGCTGTTGATACCGCTCGGCCGCCTCCTTCTCGCGCAGCTGGTTCTGCTGGTGGTAGAAGCGCTGCAGCACTGCAATAAACGAGCAATCATATGTGAGTTACAAAGGTCTAAAATAATTTAACACTATTAATAATAAATAAAAAATTAAATACTAATTCACTTGTGTTCTTAAATTTTTCTAATTTTTTTTTGATACATTTTATTAGCATTTTTATTAAATAAAGCAAATATTTTTCTATCCAAGAATACTCAAGGTTTTTAGACAGCACTCAATTACATAGAATTAGCTAATATTTAATTAGTTAACTATTAAAAATCATGTGTATAAATGTTACAAAGCTCTAAAATAAATGCTTAGGGCACAACAAAAGTAAGAATAATAAATTACACTGTGCAGCATTTTTAGTGCTTTTTAAATTTACCTCGATGGATGCTATATTTTTGGATTCGTTACGAATTCCCAAGTTAAACTGCGTTTTCCAAAAAGTTCCCCGACGCAAGGATTCTTAGCAAAAGGACCTCAAAGTTCGAAAAATGGTGAAATTGGCAAACTTTGCGGAGTTCTCAGAGGCAAATGGATGCATGATTTGATTCGATGTTAAAGTTTTTTAAAAGATACACTCTTTATCTTTCAAACCCCATACTTAGAATAATTTTAGGATTTTTTTTAAGGCATAAATAAATTCCAGAAAACATAGTCAGAAAACTTAAAAACATACAGCTGCGGTCAAAATAGTAGTAGTGTTGCCGCCTGTTTATTTAAAAGTTTGTTGTTGTAATTGGTCTTTTCCCGGTAATATTGTATTGATTATAATTTTACTATTAGACTAATTGGATAAAAAAAGTGACAACATCAAACCCTTAAAAACACAGGGCGGCAATACTACTACTATTTTGACCGCAGCTGTATGCATTTATGTTTTTTGACTATGTTTTCTAAAATTTGTTTCTCCTTTAAAAAAATCCTAAAATTATTCTAAGTATGGGGTTTGAAAGATAAAGAGTGTATCTTTTAAAAAACTTTAACATCGAATCAAACCATGCATCCATTTGCCTCTCAGAGCTCCGCAAAGTTTGCCAATTTCACCATTTTTCGAACTTTGAGGTCCTTTTGCTAAGAATCCTTGCGTCGGGGAACTTTTTGGAAAACGCAGTTTATATTGGGAATTCGTAACGAATCCAAAAATATAGCATTCATCGAGGTAAATTTTTGATGCTGCATAGTGTTATTAATTTCATTTTTGAACTAACTTATAACAACTTATAACTTATTAGATAAACTTGGAATATATTCTAAGATTTTGAGGGATTTACCTATGGGGCTCTGATTGCCCGGCTGCAATCGCTGTGGTTGCTGTTGCTGCTGCTGACTGGCGAGCTGTAGGGTTGGCGATTCCGTGGCGAATTGCTTGCGCGGCAACGAGGGCGAGGGTGAGGATAGGGCCAAGTTGAGGGTCGTGGTCGCATTACTACTACTATCACAGCTGTCGTAGGCTTGGGAATTATCCGCTGGCAGGCGCCAAGTGGGCGTGGCTGTTGGCGTTGTCGTGGGCGCTGCTGCTGCTGCTGCAGCTGCAATATTTGGCGGTGTTGTTGCCGTCGCTGTTGCAATTGCGTTTGCTGTTGCTGTTGCGGCATCCGTGAATAATGTTGTTTGGTTGTTGTGCGGCAGTGGTATTGTTATTGCAGTCGCTGCTGCTGAATTGTGTTTCTTTTGGCTGAAGGGCGATGTGGTCAGATTGCGTAGAATCGATTGACCTGCAATTCAAGAGGACGATTAGTAAATTTAAAGTAAGTAAATAAAGTAAATTAGACTGGCAAGTAAATTATTCTAAAATTATACACATTTTTTGTAGGTAAGTAATGATCACATTAATAATAATTATTAAATAAAGTAAATCATTAGACTGGCAAGTAATTCAGGTTATTAAAACCAATTTTTTTGGATTATTCTAAAATTATATAATTTTTTTGTGAATAAATAATATAGATCCCGCAACCCACCGATGCTACTGAACATGGACTCCTTCTTGGGGCTCTCGTCGTTGTATTTGTAGTGCGGATGATGCGATCCGTTGCTCAGCTTTCGCTGCATGAACGGCGATTTGCGATACAGCCGGTTGAGATCGCCGACGCCGCCGCCTCCGCTGGGTGGCGATAGAGGACTGGCGCTGCTGCTGCTGCCGCTACCGCTGCCATTTCCGTTTCCTCTCCCGTTTCCGCTTCCGCCAAAACAGTTTGTCGTTGCCGTTGGTGTTGTTGTTTGAGGTAGTTGTGTGGCTGATTGCATGAAATACTGCGACTGCTGCTGCTGCTGGTAACTCGGTATCTGAGTGGGTTTTATTGTCTTCTGCGGATTCGTGGGACTCTGCGCCATTGTCCTACCATATTTGATGGCTCCTGATCCACCTGCGGATCCTGATCCTGCGAGAGATCCGCATCCAGAACCGCCTCCACTTCCAGTCGCCGTGGCCCTGGAAATTAACGATTGAGAAGTTTAATTAATTACTGATTTATAAATGACCAATAAATGACCAATAAATGAGAGCACACTCAAATGTACGCCAGTGGCAGAAGGAAGGGTTGTGTGGTGTGTTGGGACTTTAAAGGGGTTTTTAAGAGAGGGATATATTGAATGGGTAGATGGGAATATCCAGGAACTGGTGGGAGGTTTGTGGGCGGGTTTCATGTACATAGATTGACGGCGGCGCAAAGGCAACATTTATCTAACACATTTAGATGAGCTGTGGTCGCATTTGGAATGTGTAATGTGTACTGAGTTGTGTGTGTCTTGTATATACAATTTGATGAGTGTGTTTTGGGTGTTTGTTGTGTGTAAGCGACAGGTGGAAAACACGGTTAGAGGTCACAGAAGGAGCGAAAGCGAAAAATGGCTGCAGAGAATAAATCCATGTTCATTTATGTCCTCTTAAAAACATTTTCCTAAAATTAAAATGTTGTAAATTATAAAAAAAAACGGCACCCAATTTGTAAATATAAAACATTTATAAAAAATAAAAATTCTAACAAATATCTTTTACCTAGGCATATTTAAAAACCAGCTAAACATTGTAATTTCTTAGAAAAACTACATTTTTTTATTGAAAAAATTGTAATAGTTGAATTTCTTAGGAACTTGAACCCTAAACAATTTTTTTTAAATATCCAAAAAGCTGAAAAAAATATAAAATATGCAAATTTATCAAAATAGAGTGCTTAAAATAAAAATCCGGCCTTTAAAAATTGTATTACAGTAGCTAGCTTACTTTTTAAGATAAGGGGAACAAAATCAAGCAAGAAACCTAAATGTGCTGTACAAATGAAAAATGATAATGAAAATGTGTAGCGAGACAGCGACACACCAAATGAAGTGAACTTAAAAATAATAGTAAGCAATACAAAATAAATTATCAGTGTGAAATTACCTTTTCTGGTGTATGAGCATTTCTAGATGGGTAAACAAACAAAGCATAAATTAAATAAATACGATAACCAATGCCAAAGCCAAGCTCAAAGATAGAAACATGCGAAAATAAACCGAAACCAAAGAATCAACAAAGGCAAATTAATAAATTAATAAATAATAGGTAAAATATTAAAATAAAAGTTAGCAGAGCGTGTGGCGTGTTTACAACGTTTATAACGATTAACGTATAAAACAATAATTAGAAGGCTAATAATAAGAATAATAAACTCGTCGTACTTACTGAATTTTATTTTAATTGGGAGGAGTTTTTTTTATATATAGTATTTTGTAGTATTTTGAGTAGTTATGTTTGGTTGGCATTATCTTTATATATAGGTAATATATATATTTAGGTTTATATATCTGTATATAGAGTTGATGGTTGCAAGTTTTACTTGAATGCTCTTGTTTTTGTTTTGTTTCGTTTTAAGTTTATGTCGATAGGTTTTAATGTTTGGTTCTCGTTTATAGTTTGTCTTCTTCTTTTCTTTTTCGTTTGCATTTATTTTTGTTAGATTATGTTTTTTTATTGGTTGTTTTCTTTCATTGTTTGTCATTATTGTTTAAGAAATGGTATTAGGAATTAGGTAACCTACAAAAAATGGTAATAAAAAAGATGAAAAAGGAAAATAAAAACATCGCACACACACACTCAAATTAAAAAATGTCAATTAAACGCAAAAAAGGAGAAAAAATATATAAAAATGTTTTTTTAATTATTTCATAATACATTTTTGGTTTCTCATTATTTATGTATACTAAGAAATGGGATCTAAGTGGGGTAAAAGGCTGCTAGAGGATAGACAGATAGTTGCAAAGGGACCAAGATTACAAAAGAACTAACATGCACTTTCCAAAGAATTCCACCAAATTAGAGATAAAGATATCAAGAAATCTTTAGAATGTTTTACCGAGTTAGAATATTATTTTTTTGGGTTCCAGAAATTTTAAAGAATTTTTATAGATTTTCTCATAACGTAAATGCATTATATATGTATTATTATATTTTTATTGTTATGATATAGGATTTTCTTTGGAAAGAGCATGTATTGTAGTACAACAAATCAGCATCTAATTGCTATCTAATTTCTTTAAAAAATTACTTTTATTTTTTTACTGTGTCTAAAATGAAACAAAGAAGCTAGACATGCCGAAAAAGGAAAGGATAGCGAAAGAGGAACTAAGTGTAGATTTATGGGGTTAATTAGCCTTGCCGGAGTAAAGTAAAAATGGGCAAAAACAAGGGTTAAATATATTAGGAAAGTAAAAATAATGAAGGAGGAGCAAGCAGTTTAAATTAGTTTGGCTAGCGAAAACATGTTCTTAGAAAAAACCCATCCTACGGTTAGGTGTTCAGAAGTTGGAGCTCTCCAACGCGATTTATGGTTTTTCCTCTCCTACCTGTTGAACTCGAAAAGCGCTTTAAGCAGAGAACAGAGAACGGAAAATGGAAACAGAAACGGAAGCGGAAACGGAAGAGTGGGGAAAGTACAAAGCGCTCCGCACACTATCATCAGACACACCCACTATTCACACACATCCACATCTATCAGGCACAACACATCATCAGCCGGGAATAGTTGGTTCGTGGGAATAATGCTGAAGGATCTGGTCCTAGGATGAGCTCACCTCTGGAGCGGATTGGGATCGCCGTTGGCGCGCAGCCGGCTATCCTTGATGCTCTGAAACCAATTGGGCACATCTACTTTGGTTATTTCATAGGTCCGTATGAAGGGCTGGGCCAGCAGCTCCGGATACTTGGGTCTATCCTGATGGTTCTTTGTGAGGCTGCAAGCGAACAAGAGATTTCAGGTTAAATGGTTGATCAACAAGCGAATAAAAGCACTATCACCACCCACCACTTGATGACGAAATCTCGAAACTGCTGAGTGAAATTGAAACCCTCGCCGTAGGGCAAACACGGCGGCTCCGAGTCCAGCACCTTGGTCAGCACCTCGAAGTCCGTGTTGCATCCTTCGTACGGGGATCGCGCGGTGGCCAGCTCCACCAGCGTTATGCCCAGGGACCACACATCGGCGCGAATATCGTACTTTGGCTTTTTGGGATCGATGCGCTCCGGCTGTAATAAGAAATGGTATATAGTTTAATATTTTGCCACCTTTTTGAATGAATAAATATTATAAATATTACCCTGGAATTATCGCATATATTTGTATTTCTATTATTGTTATAAGAAATGGAATATTCTTTAATATTATACAACCTTTTCAATGAACAAATATTACCCGGGAATTATCAGAAATATTTGTGTTTCTATTATTGTAATAAGAAATGGTACCTATATTGTTTAATATTATACAAAATTCTTTAATATTATACAACCTTTTTGAATGAATAAATATTATAAATATTACCCTGGAATTATCGGAAATATTTTTATTTCTATTATTTTATATTATGCCTTTTAATCATTTAATCAACAAAAACCTACATTTTAAAAGTGAAATGTAAAGTAAAAAGGGAAAGTCTGTTCTAAAAACATATACATTTTTGCTAAACTCTAGGGTTTTCCCTACTAATTTCCTGAATATTGTTTCCTTAGAGAGGATAACCTACCGCCATATAAGCTGCACAGCCGGCGGATCGTGTGTTGGCCTTGGAGTCCACCAGGCGACCGCTGATCCCGAAATCACAGAGCTTTATGTTCCCACGCTCGTCGATCAGAATGTTCGATGGCTTCACATCGCGATGGATGACCCCGTGCTTGTCCTTCAGATAGGATAATGCGTTGACCGTCTGTGAAATGCAAAAAAAGGAAGCAATTAGTGGGGAGATCTCTAGCTGTGGCAATCCTCTTCTCACCGCCACTGTGACCTTGCCCAGAATCTGTTCGGGCACTGGCTTCTTGGAGAGCTTGAGCAGCTTGTCGAAGCACATCGACATCAGCTCCATGCAGATCCAAACATCCGGATCGCGAACGAAACAGCCCAGGCACTTGACAATGTACTTGCAGTCGTGCGACTTGAGCACCACGTCCAGATCCATCAGGATGCGCTTGTTCTCCTCCGCATTGCCAGTGCGCCGCATCTGCTTCACGGCGATGATCATGTTGCTGGACAGGTGCATCATCTTCACCACATTGCCGCTGGTCCCGTTGCCCAAGTCGCCCAGGTGCTTGAGGTCGTTGATGTCCGTCGGATACTGCCGCCCGTTGATGTTCAGCTTGCCGGTCTGCTCCATGATTATCTTCAGCTTCTTGTCCGTTTCCGAAACCGGCGGATGCGGCGGCGTGGGCAGCGGAAGTATCACCGGTCGCGTCCGGTTGAATCCGCCACCGCCACCGGGACCGCTTGAGACTGAAATGGGAGAATGGAAATAGCCGGGAGTTTAGTATAATTTATCAATTATAATACAATTATCATTTTTGTTCCTACCCAATAATGAAAATAACTTAAACTAATTTATATTTATAAGTTTCCATAGCATACATATTAATGTTAAATAGGACCCACATAATAAAAGAAATCATAATTTTTTGCGAAAAATGGCCAAAAAATAAAATTTCCAGATTTAAATACGAATCGTTTGGAAATTTAATAACGAGTTCAAAAAGGTATGACATTCCATATTTGGATCAATATTTCCATTGTTACGGTAAAAAAACGAATTATTTTTTGTGAAAAATTAGGATCAGGGTTTTTGGCCAAATTTTGAATTTTTCCTTTTTGTTTTTTTGCTGTAATTTGGCCAAAAATGATCCTACAGCAAAAATACAAACTGTTTTGAACAGATAACAAAATAAGAAATAAATCCATGACACTTTCCGGGTGATATTGGAAAAATAAAAATTTCGCCAATTTTCATTTTTTTTTAAGGGGGTACCTCATGATTTTTTACGAAAAATGGCCAAAAAATAAAATGTCCAGGTTTAAATGCCAATCGATTGAAAATTTGATAACGAGTTCAGAAAGGTATGACAATCCATATTTGGACCATTATTTATTTATTTATTTTTATGACCCAAATACCATTTTTGTTTAGGTGGAAAATCAGGATACTTGGGTGTTACTTGGGCAAAAATGGCCCCAAATCAAATAAGATTACTGTTTTGAGCAGCTAACAACCTTAATTTATTTTTTACCTAATTGTAATTGATTTCCAATCGACCTGTAATCAAATAACGGTTATGGCCCACTGTGCCATTCTGCGTGCGTATGTGTGTGTGTGCTCGCGAAGAGGAAGAGCGAATGAGAGCGATTTTGTTTTTGTTTGCGAAGTTATTTTCCCTGGCAGCAATTCAAATCAACAATTAGCAACTACAACAACTGCAACAACAGCAAGTCATAAAAAATAACGCTATTTGTAAACATGCGAAAGAGGAGACACGGCGGAATGGCCGATGAGTGTGGGCAGAAGGGGGGTGCGGAGGGGCGGGGGAGAGGAAATGTGAGACCCAAAAATACTAACAACAAAAATAACGGGCATATCAAGACATTACTCCGGAAATGCCAAAAAGTAACCAATGCGAGAGAGCGGGAGAGAAAGAGAGGCGCACACACGCAAAATAAGTAAATAAATAAATAACAAAAAAAACACTTGATGAAAATCCAATAAGAAAAATACGCAAAACGAGGCATAAAAGTATGACCAAAGAGAAGGGCAAAAGGGTGGTGGGTGGTAAGTGGCGGGTGGCGGGTGGCCCACATACAGCTGGGGTCAATATAATAGCATAATTTACATAAAAGCTAATTATTTTCAATGATTTAATCTGTTATTCAAGAGATAAACCTTTTGTAATAAATTTTTTTAAATATTTTAATCTAATCTATTTTAATTTTAGGCAATTTTTCATAGTTTCAGAACTACCAATTTAATCGAATGCAAAACATTTAAATCTGCTAAAAAAAAAAACTATTACCCTGATTTCATTTAATTATAATTTTTAACGCAACAATTAAAATCGTACTGGGTTATAATTTCGGTGTGCCATTTTTGGTACTCTCAAAATTCATGGAAACTAAAGCCACTAATCTAATCGACTGGAAATGTATTCGATTATTCAAAAACCCATTAACCATTTTCTAGAGTTCATGGAAAACATCGTTTGTACCAGGAATTGTTAATCTAATCGAGTCGAAATTAAATTGTCGCAGTGCACGGTTGTTAATTCCACTGTACGAGGTTTTTTTGGGCCCTGACAAAAGGCCGAAAACAAGTTGGGTAGTTCGCACTTGGCCTGTCTTATCTATGCAATCGGAAAAACAGAACAGAAATGGGGGGACTGGAAAAGTGGAAAAGTGGAAAGCCGGGGGAGTTAGGGGGTTGATGGGCTGTGGAAGGGGGGATTATGAGCAGCTGTTATGCAGTCGGGAATGGGAATCGATAGCGGTTGCCCTTTGTTGGCGGAATTCAAATGCTGAAAGGCAAAAGCCAAGAAATGAGCACTTCTCTTATCACAATTTAAACACTCACACACACGAAGCTTATTGGGCAATGATAATTTATTAACAAAATATTTACACAAAAGCGGACAAAAGATGGTTTTGTGGCTTGCGGTTGGTATATAATAAATATATATAGATTTTTTGGTGACCATTTTTGGGTATCACGATCTTTCGCAGCCCTCTTTTATTACCACTAAACGCAAAGCGCCGCACAGTTGCGGTCAAGATATTAGCACTAAAGCCGGCATGTGTCAAAAAAAGAGCTCAACAACGATTTCACCTGTCTAAAGTTCGAAAGGAAAGTTTTTGATCTTTCTAGGAATCATTATCGAAACAGGGAATTTGGAATTTGCAATTACTCGGAAAATGATTAGGGAGTACTTAAGTAAAAATCTAGTAACCATGAATTTGTTATTAAGAATTGAGCGATCGTTTTAGAACGATCGTTTTCATTATGCAGATAAATGTATTTAATAAGTGATACTTATGGAAATTTCGACAAATTTGAAATCTAGAAATCTTTTTAGACTAGATAAGAAGTACATAAATGTACCCCTGAATTTTAGAATGTATAAAAATCCATGATATGTTTCTGTAAAGTAACCATTACCTTTCAATAAGATTTAAATGAAGGAATTTTAAGGTATTATTAGCAATATATCTTAGATCTTATAGTTAACCATTTCTAAGTATTTTTTTTCGGGATTTAAAAGGACTTGTTAATAAGTATTGGCTATTAATTTTGTTCCCTTAAAGAAAACCCCTATATTTTCATTTCCTTTATTATTTATGTGTAAATATCAAGTAGGACTAATAGGACTAATAAAACCCTTGAAAGATATTTATCTTTGATTAGGGATATTTAAACATTAAGAAAAACGAATTCTTCAGATCCTAGAGTTATTGTTCTAAATTCTTATAGATAAGCAAAGATGAGTAGTATTATCTAGAGATCTAGTGAGGAGTGGAGGACTTACGCAGGGGCAGTGTGGGCGTGGCTCGCGGCACTCTGGTTGTGGGCGGGGTGTATGTTCCGCCGAAGGCGCCCGTCGACGGAGCTGCGGACGCGGATGAGGCAGATGCGGATGTTGAGGCGGATGCGAATGCGAATGCAGATGCGGATGCGGATGAGGACGAGGCGGTGGCATTGGCACTGGCGATGGGCGTCGCATGAGGAACTGGAGGTGCTGGCCGCTGGGCTATGCTGATTCCGGAGCCGATTCCCATTCCGTGCGAAGATGCGGATGTGGTGGCGGATGCGGACGCGGATGTGGCCAGGGGCGGAACGCGGGCAGAGGAGACGATCTGGTCGTGGGACTCGTTCTGCGCCTGGAGCTTCGCCTCCAAGGACTGCAGCCGACTGCCGATCGTCTCGAACTCAATGGTGGACATATTTCCGGATTTATCCTTATGATTTCGCGACTTTTGGTTCGTATTTATTTGTTTTTTATTGGGTTTTTTTTGGTATTTTTCTTTTTTCTATTTTTTTTTGGCCAGCACTTCTTCGATTTTTCTCTCTCTCACACACACACACACACACGCGAGCGCGCTGGCGGGGGAGGGTGCGTGTGTGTGAATTGTTTTGTTGTGCGCGGTTTTTTGTCGCTGTTGTTGTTGTTTGGCGGCACACACACACACACAGATAGCTGGACTTTTTGTTTTATTTTATTTTCTGATTTGGTTGGCGGCCACAAAAACAAAATCGAAAAAAAGGAAAACACAGTCACTGTGCGTTAGAGAGAGACACCCTCGCACACACACACACACACGCAGCGCCCTCTCTCTCTCTTTCTTTTTCACCAGCAAACGGCAACAACAACTTGCGATTTTTCCTCCGCTTTTTTTCGGGAGGTTTGCCACGGCTGTTTTCCTTTCGAGGGCGTTGTTTTTCGGTTCTGGGCGATCGTTTCGTTTTGCGGCCGCAGGCGGCGGTTCACTGGCACATTCGAACACTCGGTTTTGTAAAATTTTGCTGCCTAAATCGTGTACAAATCCAAAACAGTGTGTGAGCTGCTCGCAAATGCACTAAATTATGCCAGGGGATGTGGTGGAAATACCGAGAAAATACCGCAACTAGAGATGGGCGTAGCTTTAGCGGGGACTTGAACCAAGCAGAGATACCATTGCAGAATGTGTACAATGTACAAAGTGTAGTACCCAAAAATTGTATTAAAATGAATTATCTTTTTAGGGAGTCTAGTTTTGTATTGTAAAATGTATTATTATCTTGTATATGTAAAATATTTTTTCATTTGTTTTATTTTTAAGTAATATTAGTTCAACAATTTTCAAACTTATGTATTTAATAACTTATTGCTATGGTTTTACTATAAAATTAAAGAACTAGAAAAATTAGTCTGAAAAATACCTATTTAAGGTCAAAGTCATAATACTATATTAGGAATAATTCATATATTTTTACAGATTTAGAAAAATTAGACCTATTTTAGGTAAAAATCAGATTACTATATAAGGAATGTGTCTCCGCTTTTAGGTACAATCTATCGATAGTGTGACCCATAACTCCTAAACTATTTTTAAAAAGTAGCGATATTCGCTACGTCAGGTGACCAAACTATCGCGTGTAAAACTATCGATACATTGATATTTTGATTTACCTCTTACATCCCTGGCAAAAGCGAGAAAAACGAAAAAGCGGAAAAAGGCGATCGGCAAACAGTGCGAAAAAAAAAGTTGGGCGGCAAAAAGCGGGCCACCAGGCAGAGGCAAAGCGAAGAGGCGAAGAACCCAGTCGAAGGGGCCACAAAATAGGCGATTCCAAATCCCCAACTGGCCGGACCAAATGCGATAAAAATAGCCGCATCCAGAGCTTCTTGCAGAATCCGCAGAACGAAACGAAGAATTCTTCGCAGAGAACGGAACGCCGGGAGAAAGTGGCGTAGAGGAGAGGAGAGGAGAGGAGGAGGATCTATGATATATGATATATATAGGTTATAGGATATATAAGGATAGCTCAGAATGTCGCGACGTCCGCGCCTCTCGCCCTTTTCCATTTCCAAGGAACCGGAGCCAGCCATGTAAGTAATCCCCGCTAGAAATCTTCATAATATATCGTATATCATTTATCATATCATATTTAGAGTGCCGCCACGCAACCTGGACTCGCGGGCCACCATCCAGATCGGCGAGCAGACCTTCGACATCGACGCCGACAGCCTGGAGAAGATCTGCGATCTGGGACGCGGCGCCTATGGGATTGTGGAGAAGATGCGCCACCGGCAGACCGACACGGTGCTCGCCGTCAAGCGAATCCCAATGACGGTGAACATACGCGAACAGCATCGCCTCGTCATGGATCTGGACATCTCGATGAGGTCCAGCGACTGTCCTTATACGGTGCATTTCTATGGGGCCATGTACCGCGAGGGCGACGTCTGGATCTGCATGGAGGTGATGAGCACCAGCCTGGACAAGTTCTATCCGAAGGTCTTCCGCCACGATCTCCGCATGGAGGAGAGCGTCCTGGGCAAGGTCAGTAATAATCATTTATTTATATAGTAATTTATTTATTTTTCATAATTTATATATTAAAATTAATTTATAATAATAATGATAATTATAATAATTTATTTATATAATAATTAATTTATTTTTCATAATTTATATATATTACAATTTATTTATATGTGCAATTCTCTGGGGATGTTAACCAAGCCAAATTTCTATATGATTTTGCATTGATATTTGATTCTAGTTAGATGGATCCTTAACTAAGCTAAGTAATTTGAGTATCCTTGGATAATTCTTTTGATTATTTTTTCGTATTTTTTAAAGTGACTTAAACTGTTTTTTTTGACGTTAAGGTTACAGAAAAACCACCTAAGAAAATGACGGAAAAAACTGGCGAATGCCAATAATAAAATAACCCCTTAATATTTTAATAACCAAACCAAATACATTTTAAAGAAGAAAGAACAAGGAACACTATGAAATTAAGTGCATTAAAATAGTCCTTCACGTTTCGTTACAATCGAAAGTTAAGCAGGAAGTCAAAAAAGTCACTTCTTTTGCTTATATTTCTTAAAAAAGAAATATAAATATATAGTCAGTCCTAGCACATATTTTAGTGCTAATCAAGACCTTTAATTTGAGCCTAGTGCTAAAAGAAAAGAAGTACTGGAAGATGGTTTTTTTCACCTGCAGAGAATTGCCCATATTTTATAATTTATTACAATTTATTTATATATATTAAAACTACTCCCCAGATCGCCATGAGCGTGGTCAGTGCGCTGCACTATCTGCACGCCCAGCTGAAGGTCATCCATCGGGACGTGAAGCCCTCGAACATACTGATCAACCGGGCCGGCCAGGTCAAGATCTGTGACTTTGGCATCTCAGGTGAGGAAATTCCCTCTCCCTTTGATCTCGTTTCCCTTTAATCTTGCGTCTGCTTTTAAAGGCTACCTGGTGGACTCCATTGCCAAGACCATCGATGCCGGCTGCAAGCCTTACATGGCACCCGAACGCATCGATCCACAAGGAAATCCGGCGCAGTATGACATCCGGTCGGATGTTTGGTCGCTGGGCATCAGCATGATCGAAATGGCCACCGGCCGCTACCCGTACGACAATTGGCGGACGCCCTTCGAGCAGCTGCGCCAGGTGAGTGGCTTTAGGGATCTAGGGAACTAGTTTATAGGGATTTTCTCCCTTGAATCTCTACTCTTTCATGGGAAAACACAGCTGATTGGCTTGGGAATTGGTTTAGTCATTTTGTGGTTAAAAAAAAGCCTTGATTTTACGAATAATGAGTCCTATGCTATCACGTTCTTCACCACAGTTCGATTCGAAATCTCTTATCTGTCCCGGGAAATTCCAAACCAGATGGAATTTTAGAAAATACAAAAAAGGCTTTATTTATAAACCTAAAAAAGAATTTCCTCCATTAAAATCATTAAAAAATAATACATAACTTTATATAACTCTGAACGGCTTATTATATATCTAGGTAGCTATGAATAACCTATAGTTCCCCTAAGAATGATAGGAAAACTAATAGAAAACAAATAATAGCTTCGTTGTTTTTGATTATATTATTTTCTACTCTGGTTAGAAATTTAAGAATTTTGAATTATAAGTAAATCAGACAACTTAATCATATATTATATGATATATAAATAACAGGATAACCTAACCTAAGTTAGCTTTATTTTCTTGTTAATTAATAACGTTGGGAACCAACTTGCATTGCATAATTTATTTTGCTGGCCCACAAGTAACTTATTAGCAAGGCTAATTAAAAGTATAGACATTTGTTTTCAAATAATTTGCAATTTTCTTGATTTTAATATCAATAAGCTATTTTGTTAAGCTGTTGTTCCTATTTATAAGAAAATACAAATTCCAAAAATAATTAGTAATTAAAATTTTAATAATTTAATATTAATAAAATGTAATAATATAAATTTATTTCATCATTTTTCATTTTTCAGGTGGTTGAGGACGATCCGCCGCGTCTGCCGGCGGGCACGTTCTCGCCGGAGTTCGAGGACTTCATCGCCGTCAGCCTGCAGAAGGAGTACATGGAGCGGCCCAACTACGAGCAGCTGCTCAAGCACAGCTTCATTGTGGAGCACCTGCAGCGCAACACGGACATCTCGGAGTTCGTGGCCAGGATACTGGATTTGCCCGACAACCAGCCGGCGCAGTAGGCGAATGGTTAATGGTTAACCCATGGCGCCCCCTTAACCCCCTTGAGCCGTGCCCGTGTAAATTGCCGCCGTCTTCTTCTAGCATGCATTTCGTACATGTTGTGTGTGTCTGTGTCCCCGTCTGCGTGCCAGCAAAAAACAAAGGAAAACAAATCAAATATATATATGAAGGAAAAGCAACAGCAACAGCAATCTAAAGATTCAACAAATGGAAACAGCATAATTATTAATTTAAGTGAGAAGCAAACAAGATAACCGATACTAGCAAACCTGCAACATGCTAACTTCGCCTTGCAACGCTCAAAAATGGATAACCGAACCGTGCCTCCCCAGCTGGCGATGCGATGCTGCTGTCTTAAGAAAATAATAATACCATTTTAATATATATTTTTAAAAAATAATAGCTTAGTCAACGAGAAACAAGAACAGAACCGAACAGAACAGCAAGCAAACAATGAATGTAAAAACGTACTAAACTTAAATCATAAATTGTAAACTTTTTGAACACCAAAATAGCCGAACAGAAAGTGTAATGGTAATTATAATTGTTTAACAAATATATATTACGTGAAATAGCTAATTATTGTTGAAGTTTCCATGGCTATTTGTTTAAGAATGGGAATAATCTTTTTTTTTTAATAATTTATAGAACATGTAAAATTTCAAAAAAAATAGCAGTCTATTGTGAATGCAACGATGCATCGAATGCAATCCATCCCTTGGCCGTGAAATATCGTTATATCGATACATTTTCAGCTGTTGTGTGCAGTTTTTGCACTTGCAGTGACGTAGAGAAGGGGGATCAATTTTAATCTGATATAGCAAGTTTACAATATTCGGGAAAAAAAATTTAATTTAATTGTAAAAAAGTTTAAGAAAAGCTGTAGGGAATTTAACAAACAAATTATTTTTGCAGAAAAAATTCAAGGGGGAATTGAATTTATAGCGCTTTTAATGACAAATTTGATTAGAAATTCTGGAGTAGGCCTATAAAATTCTATAATGTTCCCAAATTAATGTGTTTCTATACCAAATAAGTTTTTGTATCGAAGTTTCTTTGTGTGAGGACCCCTCGCAAAGCATTTTTACATACTTCCCTGTTTTCGCCTTGCTGTTGCTTTGTGATAAGGTTTGTTTGGATTTGGAGGCATTTACTTCGATATTTCTGGGACCCATCCCTAGCGACCGGTCATAAAACTCTGCTAATCTGGCCGACTGGGTGAACCATTCAATCCGACGATTAGATTGCTTGTGAAATGGGCGGTGCACGGAACCTTTTGTTGCTCTCCTCGTCGCGTTTGTACGGCTATGGATATTTGGAGCACGCGCGTGGCCAGCTGGAGGATCTCTTCAAGAGGTAATTGTTTGGAGAATGGGTTGTAATTAGATAGGGTGACAATATATTGTAAATAATAATTTACATTTTTAAAGTCATTTTAACTAAAATTATCTTAAATGGAAGAAATACGTACATATGTAGGTAAATTTAACTAAATTGATATTCATATGTAGGTATTACTAAATACTATCCAATAATTAATGAAGTTATTAAGATGTAGCAATAAACAAAAACAATTGGAAACATAAATAAGTAAATAAAATCTTTAATTTTAATTTTCTTAAATAAAAAAACATTATTTTGTCCAAGGCAAAACTAATTGTTAAAATAAGCAACGTCATTCCAGAAAATCTTAAAGTAAACGCTTATAAAAAATGCTAGAATCGAACAATATATTTTTTTTAATTTTCAATTTCATATTTCAAACAGTTTATACCATAAAATCTTAAAGTAAACGCTTATAAAAAATGCTACAATTGCACAATATATTTTTTTAAATTTTCAATTTCATACTTCGACGATATATTTTTGTATATATATTTATTCTACTATTATTATTTTATAGTGCCAACGTGAAGACGGTGCTCTTTGTGCCCTACGCTCTGCGGGATCACGACAAGTACACGGCCACCGTGCGGGATGCCCTGGAGCCGTGGGGCTACCAAGTGGAGGGGCTGCACACGAAACAGGATCGAGAGGAGGCTCTGAAGGAGGCGCAGGCCATCTTCGTGGGCGGCGGCAACACCTTCGTCCTGCTGCGCACCCTCTACGAGCTGAAGCTGATCGATCCCATCCGGGAACTGGTCCTCCGGCGCGGACTGCCCTATGTGGGCAGCAGTGCGGGCACCAATGTGGCCACCCGGTCCATCCACACCACCAACGACATGCCGGTGGCCTATCCGCCGACCTTCGAGGCCCTGGCCCTCGTGCCCTTCAACATCAATCCGCACTATCTGGATCCGGAGGCGGGCAGCCATCACAAGGGCGAGACGCGGGACGAGCGGATCGAGGAGTTCGTGGCCTACCACCGTCTTCCCGTCCTGGGTCTTCGCGAGGGCACCAGTGTCCGGGTTGAGGGCCAGAAGGCCACGCTCCTCGGCGATCGCAATGCCAAGCTCTTCAAGGCGTAAGTTGATATATGGGTTCCATATTAGTTCGTAATATATTTTAAAGAAATTTCGCACCTTTCCTACTTAAAATTAAATTTCTAAATGCCAAGCTCTTCACGGCGTAAGTTGATATATGGGTTCTATAATAATTCGTAATATATTGTAAAGACATTTCGCATTTTTCCTACTTAAAATTAAATTTTTAAACATCTCAATTAAAATTTGATATTATATTATTTTTTATCAACATATTATTTAAAACATTGTTCGTTGGGTTAAGATCGCAATGCCAAGCTCTTTAAGGCTAAGTTCATATATATGGGTTTTTCTTATTTAAAATTAAATTTCTAAACATCTCATTCAAAATTTGATATTACCTATTAATTTCTTTGTATTAACATATTATTTAAAACATTGATCGTTGAGTGTAAATAAGTTTCTTATGGTTTTTATGGACTAAAGCTCTTAACATCAAAATTGTCATATTATTTCATATATACATTTCTATACATCTCATTAAAAGTTTAAAAGTAACTATTAATTTCTTTATATTAACATATTATTTAAAACATTGTTCGTTGAGTCAAGACAAAAAGATTTAAGCTTTTAACATTGAAATTGTCATATAATTTCTTATAAACATTTCTATACATCTCATTAAAAGTTTAATATTACCTATTCATTTCTTTATATTAACATATTATTTAAAACATTTTTCGTTGAGTTTAAATAAGATTCTTATGGTTTTTTAAAAACTATAGCTTTCAACTCTAAAATTCTTACAAAATTACAGAAATAAAATCTGAATTAAATTATTAAAATAATATATAATAGACAAAATCTATAAATGCAATATTATCACGTTCCAAATATTTATTAATAATATATTATTATTTCAGTGATGGCGGCGCCGAAGAACTAACTCCCCAAGCGGATCTCAGCTTCCTGCTGCACAAATAAGAATAAATCCAACCCAAAACAATCCAGTTGAAGAAAAAAGAAAACATTTAAATTTATTGTACATATGCACATACATAATTTGTATTATTCTGCAATAACAACAATTCCTACACGTAAACAGTACAGATACAGTAACTTTACTCTATGACTAAATGTAAAAAAAAGGTTTTTTTTGGGGACAAGGGAAGGGAGGAGGAGGACTTCTCCTGGCGAGTGTATTTCTATAATAATTTGTTTAATAAATTAATCGGATTTCCCCTCGTAATCGTAATGATAAGAATTTGACTGGCAGACTTCTTATTCGATGCTAAAACTGATGTGCTGGCAAATGGTCAAGTGTAGAAACCTACAGTAAATATCGGCTAAGGGAAACTGGCAAGCACTTAACAATATTCATTTTAAAATATCCATTCTTTTTTGTTTATTTACAAAGATTATTTACTAAATTGGAATAAACAAATCGTATCAATACTTTTTCGTTTTAAAAGCAAATTGCTGGCAAATTTAATATTTATTAATATTTATTAATATTTTCCCTTAGCTGATATAATTAGTTTTTTACATCTTAAGTTTAGTTTTTATGTAAGAGGAACAAGGTCCAAGTAAGCACTCCCTAATTTAGACCAGCTTTTGTATAATATTTCCGTTTATTTGGCACACCGTTTTTTGAGAGAGCCCATTTATAGGGATTGTAACACTTTGAGGCAAGGCGGCATCTGGTTATTTTGTCGTACAGCCACATCGTTCGTTTCACTTAGGCGCTATAACACTTAGCTTAACTAGTCATTTAAATAGGAGTCAATAGGAAACACTAATAGAGATATGTGTAGTATTTACATGCGAAAATTGACAAATTGAAAGCTGAAAATCGAATGTCTGTTGAATGGCCCCTACATTTTGTTCCTACATTTAACTACTGACTAATTGCTGTCTACCATTTTGAGCATTGAAAGTTTCACTTTAAAGCAAGCAACAACGGGAATTGCCTAGGCCTAAACACTAAGTGGTGATTGAGATAGGTCCGCTACAGGTTTACCTATATACGTGGGTCCCAAAGTTTCCCTTTTTTTGGGTGCGAGTATAAGAGTTGGCATTAGTCCTGTATAAGATCTATTCGACACATGCAGTCGCAGTCGCAGTCATTCACTTCGTTCACTTCAGTCACACATGGAAATATTTTAAAAAGGAACTGATGATATTACAGGCAGGAGCAGCAGCTGAATTCCAGCAGGGATCCCTGCTTTTAACTATTTACTATTTGTGCAGAATACTTTTGTCCTCGTAGCGAATGATGGCGTCGCCGATCTGCTTGCGGGACGCCAAATGGATGCACTGCTCCCGGCCGCACTGCTCCGGCTGGCTGTCCGGCAGGGATCCTCCGCGGGCCAGGTGGTTCCGCACATCCTGGCCGAAGCGCAGATTCGGCTCCACGCCGCGCAGTATGTGCACCGAGTGCTGCGCCGCCACGAACATGTCCAGGATGCTCTCCACGCCCGCCGGCCGCCTCTCCTCGCCGCCGGACTGCAGCAGCAGCTGGTCGATGTCCAGGTCGCTGCGGATGATCGGCAGTCCCTGCGGATGCAGCAGCTTGCGGGCTGCGAAGGGGAAAAGATCGGAGGAACGATGAGTAATCAGATAACCCTCTTTTGAGTTCATTTAAGGTTCACTAAGGTTTTTAAATTGATTTTTAACTTATTATACCTCAATTAGGCTTCAAAATAAATCAGTCAAAAATCTTTATCATTCTTTCTTACTTTAAATTTAAATAAATAATATTTAGGTATATATTTAAGTTAATTAATTGTAGCCAGAAAGCAATTATCCATTGCCAATAAATAAATAACAAAATTTTTTGAGATTTTGGTACATAGAAAAATAAATAAAATATTATTTCATATCAATTAAAAGCCGATGTGAAATTTATGATTCAAACATATCAATTTGATATGGTAACATATCAGTTATTTCATAAAAGTTATAGAATTGCTATTTTAAGATACCAAATATAGTACTTTTTGAACAAATATTGTTAAGTTAAAATATATAATATCAAAATGATGAAGTTGATCTTTAAAAAATATTAAATTGACCTGCACATATCAATCCTATATTTTTTTCAATAGTTTTTTGTGTACAGCATAGCATAGCTACTCCTTATATAAACCAATCCCAAATTCCTACCCTCGCACTCACCCTGGACATAATCCCGGCTGTAGAAGGCGATCACGTCGTGGTTGTGGCGATCGAAGTACCCGCTGCTCTGGCTGACGTCGCAGGTGTCGCACTCGCGGCAGAACTGCGCCCAGCGGCAGGGGTACATTTGGAAGCCGATCGGTGCGTACACCTGGAAGCCCTGGATCGTGTTCATGCGCACGCGATTGAGGAAGTCGGCCTTGAAGAGCATGCCGGGCGTGGCCAGCAGGACGAGGGATTCGAGGCCCAGCTTGGGCAGGGCCAAATCCGCCACCACCAGGCTGAGCAGCTGGCGTGGGCCGTACATGGAGGCGTGGAGCAGCCAGGCCTGCGAGTCCACCGGTTCGCTCAGCTGCTCCGGCAGACGGATGGACACCCAGGCGATCCTCGAGCCGTCCGTCTTGTACTTGGAGGACAAATCCAGGGCCAGCGTCTTCAGAGCCTTAAAGGGATCCTCGTCGCCCTTGCTGGGCGAATCTAGGCGGTACATGAAGATCTGCGGGGTAAAACAGGATTTGTTAGAGATATATAAATCTATATTATAATTATGCTACCAAATTTAGTAGTTTTTGAACAAATATTGTTAAATAAAAATATATAATATCAAAACGATCAAGTTGATCTTTAAAAAATATATATAAAAAATATATATAAAAAATATATATAAAAAATATATATAAAAAATATATATTAAAACCTGTACATTTTATTTTTTGGCCATTTTTCGTAAAATTTTATGAAATTTGCGAAATTTTTATTTTTCCAATAACACCCGGAAAGTGTCATGGATTTTATTCTTATTTTGTTATCTGTTCAAAACAGTTTGTATTTTTGGTGTAGGACCATTTTTAGCCAAGTTACAGCAAAAAAACAAAAAGAAAAAAATTCAAATTTTTACCAAAAACCCAGATTCTAATTTTGCAAATATATAATTTAAAAATGATCAAGTTGATCTTTAAAAAATATAAAATTGACCTGCACATATCACTATGATCTTGTTTTCTGTGTATAGCATAACAAGATAAACATAATCTATTTAAATATCAAAATGATATGAATAACTTGATCTTTAAAAAATATAAAATTGACCTGCTCATATCAATCTGATCTTTTTCTGTGTATATAATCCCCGTGATCTCACCAGCAGCAGGAAGGTGTTGTCCTGGTTCTGCATGCATATCCTTTCGTACTGCTCCACAAACTGCACAGCATCCGGCACTTGATGCTCAAAGGCGGGCACCAACATGGCAATCCGCGTGCTCTCCGTCACATATGGCGAGGGAACCACCTCCACGCGACCCAGGGGCTTCACCACCTCGAAGCTCTTGACCACCAGCCGGCGACTCCGGCCCGAACCCTCCTGCAGGCTGAGATGCAGCTGGTAGTCCATGCCCCGCGTGGCATCGAACTTTCTGTAGGCACTGTGCAGGCTGTGGTAGCTGAGCCGCGGATGCTTGAGCGACGCATACTGCAGGGCTATCTCCAGGACCTTGGCAAAGTCCAGTGCCTCGATCCGCGACAGCGGGGCCACCGCGTGCTCCGCATTGCCGTGCGGCAGGAAGCTGTGCGTCCCGTTCAGCAGCTGCCACGTGAGGATGTCGTGGCGCGTCTCCGGCGCACTCGGCGGCGGCACGCCCAGCGGCCAGCGGATCTCCAGGATCTTGTTCGAGATGCTCCCGTTGGCGATGCGGTACGACTTCTGCTCCAGCGCATAGCCACGCTCCTGCACCTTCTCCAGGTGGTGCTGGGAAAAATATAGGGGTATTTTTAGTAAAAATTTGATTGAATAGAGAAATTGTTTTAAATTTTTTACACATTTTTATCTGTCTCTTATTATATCTATTTTTATTTAACGATTACTGGAGGAATTTTATTAAAAAATAAAATATTCAAAATCTAACTTTAATATTTAACATTTTAAAATTGAATTTTTTTTAATAATTAACTTTTATAGGCTCAAATTATATAAAATATTGGTGATAATATAAAGTAAGTAATTTATTCTACCGATATGTTAATCGAGATTTAAGGCGATATTTTCGATACATTTTTGATCAAATCTGAAATATATACTTAATTAGAGCAGTAAAATATCTTATCGGTATCATACAGATAAGTAATAATATAAATGTAAGTAATTCATTCTACCGTTATGTTATAGAGATTTAAGTCGATATTTTCGATACACTTTCGATAAAATCTGGAAACCTACATATATATTAACAAATTCCTTATTGTTAAGAGTTATCATACTAAATTAGAGCAGTAAAAAATCATACAGATATTTAAAATTGATATATATCTCACCTTGGAGTAGTAGGCGTGCAGGCGGTAGAAGTCCTCTGGCATCTGGACGGGATACACGGTGCTGGCATTGCGGAAGGCCTCCTCCTTGGCCAATTCGCTGAAGTCGCGATGACGGCGGCCCGGCGCATCCAAGGCGTAGCTATATTGCCGCATGCCCTGCAAGGCAATAAAGATACAGATAAATATAGATGGAGTTGGCCATGGTCAAGGTCAAGTTCAGGGCCAACGATTCAACGGTTCCGTGGAATGGAAGTCGGACTGGGGATCCCACGGCTGCAGGCTGCCACATGCTCGCCTCAAGCGATCCCTTTTACGATCCATAAAAAAAAAGCCACAACCGAGCATAATTAAATTAACAATGTCGCGCTAATGGAACAAAGATCGCCCATTCGATGGCGGATTTGCTCATATCTTTGGCCCATTCCCATTCTGTGCATTATTTCGCATTCGCAGCATTTTTAATTGGACCGCGCACATTAATCAATTCCCCAGCAAAATGTGCAGCTTTTGATGATGCCGTTAAGCAAACTCCTTAGGCCAGTTAATTAAGCGAAAACACCCCGGCAAACACACTTGCATATCTCCGCTTTTGTTTAGACAGCTGCAGTCGAAATAAAAACATTAAGTACGTCGTCTACAATGAACGATAATTATACGATACAATTAAATAATCGACTAAAAATAAAAACATCGATATTATCGATAATAAATTGAAATTAAATAAGTAAATTGAAATTAATAATACAAAAGAAAAAACCAAAATCCCCAATTTCCAAAATAAAACAAAACAGTTTTTTCGCTAAAACAAAGCAGTTTTTTCGATATAACAAAGCAAATACTGATTCAAAGTATGGAATGTCATACCTTTCTGAACTCGTTATCAAATTTTCTAACGATTAGCATTTAAACCTTGACAATTTATTTATTTTTAATTTTTCGCAAAAAAATCATGGGGTACCCCCTTTTAAAAAAATTGAAAATTTGCGAAATTTTTATTTTTCCAAGATCACCCGGAAAGTGTCATGGATTTACTTCTTATTTTGTTATCTGTTCAAAACAGTTTGTATTTTTGGTGTAGGACCATTTTTAGCCAAGTTACAGCAAAAAAACAAAAAGAAAAAATTCAAATTTTTACCAAAAACCGAGATTCTAATTTTGCACAAAAAATAATTCGTTTTTTGACCGTAACAATGGAAGTATTGGTCCAATACAATATTTTTTAACTTTTTTCTTAATGTTGAAACCACATTCTATGGGTCTCTAAGGAAGTTGACATACAAAACTTTAATAAACAAATGATTTTAGCTAAAACATACAAGTTATAGCTCGAACTTTCGGTGGTACATTTACCTATAACTGTATGCTGATGTGCAGAGACCACACATAGGACATAAATCATTCCATGCTGCCCCACCGCATAAATAAACGCAAATCCAAACAAACCCATCGAAATCAAACGAACGCGAAACTAACATCTCAACGGAAAAAGTTCCATTTACTCGCGGCTCTTCGACTGTTTATGCCAAAACTAAACTGCGTGTTCATATAAATAGAGCAATAATCAGAAATGATAATGAGTAAGACACACCCACCTGAGATTTGGATTAAAGGAAGTACAGTGTTTATATGGAATTTTGAACCTATTTTTGTTTTAACTTCTAAATTTTACAATAATCACCAGGAATTATAATCTATCGACTTGGATACATAAATTTAAAATATAAAATACAACTAAAATACTTGTTTAAACCAAAAAAAAACTATATTTTATTTAAATATTCTTTTATATTTACAAGTGGAAGATAAAACAACTTAAGAATTGAAGAAGTTGCTCTCAAACTGTCACGACGCCCAGTGCCACGCCCCCTTACGCACACTTAATCGACGGCAAAGAGATTCTTTTGTTGCTACTTGGAAATTAAATAAACTGAACTGTGTTGTCCATCAACTGAGAAATTCTGGTCTTGCTCTGAATTTGGTTGCTCATCTGCTCTTTGCGATGCGAGTTTGTTTGCTTGGCCAGTGGCGTGCGAACAAAGAGGTTTAAGGGGGTTACAAAAATTAATTAAAGTTTAAAGATAAGTGAAAAAAATACATATACATATAAATATATTTTTATAAATATTTTTCGCTTTTAGTTTTTAAATATCGATTTCGATCTGGTAAAAACAAAAACCTCATTTCAAAACCCTAATACTGTAATATCACTATTTTTATACCCTACAAATTTTCTGAATTTAAGTATCCCCGTTTTAAAAACCCATGTACGCCACTGTCTTGCTTGTTGTTGGAGCTAAACTCTTTTTTCATTTTCTTTGGCTTTTCAGGGTCACTATTCATCAGTGTTGGTGTTGAGTTTTCAGAAAGAACCAAATCAGCTTCAGTCATTATTATACAATGGCATACTCTTTAGTATAATTGTTTAAGTTTTTCTATACATCAATCTGATTTACTGTAGGTACATATAGAAAAAGTCTATACTGTTCGAGAAAAAATCTCAATTGAACTATATTTTTCTTTGGCCAAAGATTGAGATATATTTCTCTATGTAAAAAATGCTTTAAATAAATAAAACGACATATGTATAGTGCATACAGATTTCGCGACAAAAAATAATTGAAAAGCACAAAATGCTGGCGGCAAATTAATTGAAGCCCATACAATTTATTCTCGAATCACTGGGCACATTTGGGAATAAATTGTGCTGGTTTTGTTTTAAATCTTTTCATTGCTGAGTTTTCCAGAATAATAATCAAAAGTTTTCTTTTTGATTTAATATTACAATTTTAAATAATTAATAAATAATAAATTAATTAGTGTATAAACTGAGTAGTCCTTTTAAAATGAAGGTTACTAATAACTATTATTTTCCGTGCCTGGCGAAAACATTTTAAATTATTCCAAAAATAGTTAAGTCTTTATTTGTTAAGTGTTTACTACCTAAAAAAATTCCTAAACATTTAAATATTCTAAATAATATTTAAAAATGTTTTAAATTTCGGTAAAGCTATTTTTTTGCCATTTTAAAGCCATTACTATATTTTTTCCTGCCTTTTGCGGCTGGGATTAGTCGGTATTGGTCGGGCGGACTCACCTGAAAGCTCTCCTGGCATCCGGCCACCCGACTGGCGTACTTGACGCACCGCCCGATGTTGACGCTGTGGTCGCTGGTGCTTCCGATGCGGACGCAGCGCTCCAGGTTGTTGCGCATCTTGCGGATGACGCTGCTGCTGAGCAGGATGCCCGCCTCCAGGGAGCAGTAGTTGCGATCGCTGGCCCCGGGAGCCTCATCCTCCGGCGGCTGGTCGTCCATCGAGGCACTGTTGCCACCGGGCGGAGGATCCAACCCAATGCGGGCACCACCCATGTAGAGGTCAAAGGTGATGCTCATGTGGTAGAGCAGCTTCACCAGCTTGCGGGCATCCACGTAGACGGTGTCTGGGACCAGCAGGAAGTAGTCGTACTCGTCCAGATAATTATCCGCTATGTACTTGACCACATGGAAGGGACGGCGGCTCTCCCGCGTGTCCGTGAAGCCCACGATGTTCTTCAGCTTGTAGTTGGTCTTCACGCTGTCCGCGTAGATGAAGAACTTGATCTTGTTCACCAGGTGGGCGGTGGTGCGGTTGAAGGCCGTCGCAAAGGTGTTGATGTGCTCCTGCGAGGTCATCACCCCGATGAAGAGCTTCTCGCGGATCCCCAGCTCCGAGGAGTAGTAGCGCGGGCGAATCACATTTTTCACCTGCAATTTAAAATAAAATATTGGGATTTTTTTTAAATAATTATCGTATAGAAAAGCCCAAATTATTTATAAAATAGAATTATTTAATTTAATTTAATTTTGCTTATAGTTTGTAATCATTAATAATATTAGGTTAGTTTACTGTAATATCAAATCTATAAATTTCATATAATATTACATTTTTAATTTATTTTCTTTTTATTTATTCATTTATTTTCTCAACAATTAGCATTAAATAAATATTTGCTTTTGTAATCGTAGGAATCAAATGCCTAGATCACTAACCTCACCATTTCCGGGAATCGTATTCATAACTCAACTATGCGATCTTGAAAATGATCTACAATGATTTAGGGTGAAAAATTCCTGATATCTAAGTAGATCGATCTTGGGATCTTTAATTACCAAACATGGTACGTGACTTTGTCTGGGAGGCTGGTTTATTTATAAACCCAACGGCATTCCCCGAATCAATATGGGATATGGTATAGTTATGCATAAAGGCAGGTATGTAGTTCCATCTAGAGATAAAGTCTCATTATTCACCCGACTATTTTTAACTTCTGACATGCACTCAAGCCAATAAAAGTGCGTTAAGGGTCTAGTATCTGTATCTGCCCAATTACATCTATTCCACCACGCTTAAGTACTCGAAAAGACAGGCCGGACTGCCTCGTAAACCCGAAACTCTTTCAAGTGGCTCGGTTCCATTTTTCTCTGCCCACTTGAGGCTAAGTTTTAATTCTTATTTTTACGATTAGATGACTGTTCAAAGTTTGGCACTGTGACGAGGAATGCCCCGTCGAAAGGCAATTTTATCCACTATCTTGTTATTTTTCTTGTGATCAGGTATGACTGAGCTAAAAAAAAATTATTATTACCGATTGCGTTTCTCGGAATGCCTGCGAAACGATGATAATAATGTCAGGTCATGGATTTAATACCATGTGATTTTAAAAGTTGACAACTAGATTCTCCGGGGACGTCGAATGGAATACTTATTATTATTTATTATGTCTTAGGAGAAGCATGTGACTTGTTTTATTCGGGTTAGTTAACTTATTAGCTATGTGAATAAAAAGGAAAAATTGATAAGAAATACTTGCTAATTAAATTAAACTAAAAATCATTTAATCATTTTTCTGTTGCAGTCGTTAAATGTTTAGTATTTTTACTACTGTTTGCATTGAAATAAAATGTATTTTTAAGTATTGACTTCCATTAGGCTGTAAACAAATGCTCATTAGATTTATAGCACCAAATATTTAATGGTTTTGCTGGGAAATTTTAATGGATTACTACCAAGTATTGGCGGAATTCCGAAGAATTGAAATGTTTTAAAGACCTACTGTACAGGGTAATTTGGGAAAGAAACAATAGAAATAGGTAAACACACTTCATTTAGCTTTAGTATTTAAGTGGTCGTTTTCAGCCGCCCTTCGAAATTTGCATACATGCAACTGACTGAGTAATTTATGGCACTGACCATCTTAACCCACTGTTGACCCAAAGAGATGCGTGCAAGGCGGTCCCTCCTCCATTGGATCCACCTCGATTTCCCCCTGAACTCGTTGAGTAAACAATTGCCGGTTGTGCAAGCACTTTGGACCAACTCGCCGGGTTATTTTTTTTGTGTCCAGGTAAATGTGCAGTTTACAGGAATTATGGCTAATTAAAAATCATTCTTAATAGATTTTTAATAACGGCAAACAAGCTGTTTGCTGCCGTATTTATATGGCATCGTAAAGCGAACAGAGTGGCCAGGGTCACTTTCGATGGGTATTACTTCATGATTTTATTTTTCAAGCACCCCAGGAATACGAGGGGTATTTCTTTACTTTCTAGAATCTTAAAAAATATACTAAAGTTTAAGTTTTTTAATGTTTTTAAATTTTATTATTTTTTTTTAAATTATTTTTTAGTAGTTATTATTTAAAAAGTGCAGGTGGTATGATATAATACTAGAAAATAATACAGAATATTTGACAATACAATGATACAAATATTTTATTTTACGGAGATACAAAGTGTTTGTTTATATAATTAAGTATTGGTTAATACTTTTTATTTGTTGATAAGTTGAGTTTGGCACAGTCCTTGGATCGAATGGATCTCAAGTGGCTAGCGAATCTGAAGGTGAAAACCAGAGAAGTGGGGATGCGGAATATAGTTGCTAGCTCGATGAGCAAATACACTCGTCTGCGGCAACAATTAGCAGTAAGCACCTTAATAAATACATATAATAATAGTAAGAAATAAGCACAGAAAAAAATAGTTTAAACTTGTCATTTGTTTAAACAATCTATAATATGATATTAAATATTACAGAAAATATTATTATTATTTATTAATATTAATACGCGAAAAGAGTGTTATGCATTATTTGCTCATAACTTTTTATTGAGTCATTCGATTTAAAAAATGTCTACAAATTTAGTTAGTTAGCTTGATGTGGACATATGCACCCAGTTTTAAAGCCCAGTTTTTCTTTCTGTGGGCGAGCGAGCAATCAAAGTCGCGTTAGAGGCGGCGATCGAGAGAAGCAATTTCAATTTCAGTTTCGATTTAATTGAATTGCGGGCAATGCAATGCAGTGGCGAGTATCTTTATGCAATCGCTGCCCACTTAATGGGTCCATGTGGCGCTTTAATTACCACGCTGGGGTCACAGCTTGATCCGTCGATCGGTGGATTGGTTCAAGATCTGACCTTGCGCCAATACCACAGATATAAACCCAACATATTGAGGTACCCACCTATTCGTACGTATATATATAATCTAAGAAGACGGAACGCACACGCACATTTGCCAATCATCAAATGTGTAAATATCGCCGAAAGATAAACCACGGGTAAAAATAACAGCGAAAAAAAAACACAACATCCAAATGGTCGAGATGAGATCGGCTGAGATCGCTCTCGAGTTTTGTGTTTGTTCGCTTGGATATTTTGTAGCGCTTTTGGGTAAATAAAAATGCTTTTCTAAATATGAATGATGCATGGGAAATTCAATGAATAAACTTTTTTCAAGAAATCACCATCAAAACAGTGGTCGCTGTGAGTTAACACATTCTGTTGTTTTAATAAAACAGAAAAGGAAAGATTTATAAAATGTTTTGCAGAAATCCAAAATAGGATTCAAATTTAATATAATTTGCTTATACAACTTTCAAGATATCATAATTATAAAACTGTAATCTGAGTTTAATTTTTAAGATCACAATAAATTTATTTTTATTTCAATGTTAATTTTAGAAAAATATTTATTCCAAGACACATTTTTAAAATATTTATTATTATTTATTATCATCAATATCATTATATATTTATTTAAATTAGTCAGTTTTTCCGCAAGCTGATTCCTTTTAGCGATCACTGTACAGGCTATGTATAGCAGTTCCTAAAAACTTGTCGGCTTTTAACAATTCGGTAACAAGGCCGTGCCAGGCGAATATGTGATTCACTAAAAGGTTTGTTCACCTGAACAATGAGTTCGCATCTTTGATCCAAATTCCACATAAACGAATCGCCAATATAGTGAAATATCCCCCCGGATAGATCGAGAAAATCTTTTTTTGGGGCACGTGGGCCACAGATAAGAAATGCGCTCCCAACAACCTTGTGACGTAATTATGACAACAACGGAAGTGAGCCAAAGAGTTAAGAGGAGAATTTATTGACGACCAGAACGAAAGGCAATGGAGCCAACTGGCTAACCTGCTTATCGATGGGGCCTTCTTATCAGTAGATATGGCTAAGACGACGTCACCACGCCAACGAATGGGAATTGGAATGGGAACAAAAGCCATTTTCAATTTCATTTTCCATTCCGAAAATTTAATTAAAGATAGGAACTTTTTCGTTTGTTTGTTTGTTTACTCGGTGGCATGCAGTAAAGGCAGCTCTTTCGTCAGAGAAATAAAAAATAGCGCCATGACAATTATTGTAAACCCCACCCCATCAAAGATATATAGATTGTGATATATAGGGATTTGGTTCAATATCAAGCTTACAAATAAATTAATTTGAAGGGAAAAACATATATAAATTTAATCACTAATAGAAAATATTAATATTATATTTCTGACAATATAGAATTTATTATAATCTTTTTCTGTAAAGTTTCATGTCTTAAAGAAAATAGTTTATGGCTTTAAACAAGCAATATTTTCCATCATAAATTCAGTGGCTTCGCTTGGAAGCATAAATATTAAATTATAATATTTACAAGCAGCCGAAATCAACTTTGAAATATATGGCCGCAACTCAAATTTTGTTTATCATTGCCAACGCACAACAGAGAAATCCATTGAGTCCCTGGCAAAACAATAAAGAACCCTTGTGAAAATATTCAAGAACTTAAGAGTATTAACCGAGAAAATATTACAGACATTGGAATCACTTTGCAATATCGACGAATATTGCTTTAAATTTCGGCTCGATGACTCAGGAAGTGGGTTAAACTTGAACTTAGGACGCGATAAAATGTTTACAGTGATTATATGGCGTCGGCATTTGAGTGTAATAAATCTCCAGATAGCCAGCGAGGTGTATTATTTTATATGGCCCACTACTTAGGGTGTGTTTGCCTTTTTAAGCAAAGTGTAATGAGCCGAATGGATGACATCTGGAGATTTAATACACCCAGAAAAAAAAGACCGAAAAAATCTAAGACCGAATTTCTTACATTACTACCGTTTTGTTCTTTTATTTTTTTAAGACCATATTCTTATATTGATACCAAAGGGTATTGATTTAAGACCAGTAAATTTAGATTTAAGTTGAACTTATGCACGCGCGCGAAGCACGGTGCGATGGCCCAGTTGGTAAGGCGTCTGCCTCTGATGCGAGAGGACCCCGGTTCAAAAACCGGATAAGTCAAAGTAAGTAAAAAGTTTTTCAAATGTATTTCAATTAATATTTCCTTAATAACTTTGAGAACAAAAATGTATTTAAAAAGTTAAGTTGTTAATTTACTAATTACAAAAAAAAAAAGTTGTGTTGTGAGCGGGAATTGAACCTTGTACCCCCAATTACAAAATAATACCAGAATCCAGCACCTTGGCCCCTGGGCCATGGCCTTATTATTTCCTTCTATGGCAGAATGCTTACAGGAGCATTCAAAGAAATTTATTTTTGTACTAAAAATAAATTTAAATTTAAGTACGTTTTGTTCTTAGAGTAAGAACAGCGGTCTTAAAAATCCGTTCTTAAAATAATACCATAAATTCTTATAATGATACCAAACGGTATAAAGCTATTTTTGAGACTCAAACAGACACGTTTTCAGACACAATCAGAACAATTTTTTCCCTGAGTGTACGGGGCTAAGCAAATATAGACCTAATAAATATAAATCAAATATTTTGAGAGCGATTACAAGTAGTAAGCTTTGTTTATAATCATGATTTCCTTCCTTTTTTACTTATTTACAACTATTTTTGAGCTTTTCATAGAAGCACAAGTGAATCATTAACTCAACGATCGATTAATTGATATGATATTGATGCCTATAAATGATTTAATTACCGTACTAGACTATTTAATTGCGAATTAATTGAACTGTATTATATTATATTTAAAGTTATAAATGACATACAAAATTAGGAAACATCTTTTTAATTGTTAGGAAAATACTTGAAATGTTGTTCAAAAATCCATTTCAAGTGAGCTGAAAATTGTGTTTAATTTACAAATTGTCATGGTTCTTTTTTTATACCCTCAAACCAATCGACTTCCTAAAGACGTCAATGAACCGCATTTAAAGTCAATTATTTAAATTAACAGATCAGCTCTATTGGTTGCCCCTTGGTAATTGATTCAATTATGAATGGAATCGCAAGTGGATTGTAATTATACGTTAGTAGTTTTAATAGCTCAAATGAACTGATTTTAGTATCGATAAATCAATTTAAATTTGTCTACATTAAATATATTTTTAACTAGAGATTTTCTTATAAATAAACTGATTAGTTTTAGATTTCAGATAGAGGTCTTAAAGATCCGATCTAAAATTGATTGGCTAATCCAAAGACGACACCTTTCGACATCAAAATGAAAAATATTCGCTGTGCCCGGAGACATTTGGCATACGGATCAGGTACATATATATATGCCATATATATAGACATTTGGAAATCTCGGCTGTAGCTTTTCCACATGTCCAGCAGAGCTGCTGTGCAGCTGCAAATTGTATTGGATTGGACAGAAATCTTAATTGGGACAAGTGCGCCGTCGACCAGACACACCGACTTTTTCTAACGCCCGCGGGGGAGGAATACTCATAGACTATATAGACTATATAGACTCTATATACCGTAGGCCTCATCGTCTAGTCTCCGGGGCTTATGGCAATTTATTGGGGCCGGCAAACTGTATCGCAACTGTACAGTCTGCCTCCGAATAAATGCCTCGAACCTCAGACTTCAGACCGGAAATGCGACGCGCTTTTCAATTAAGCCCCAGCCAAGATGTTACCATTCAGATCTGAACGATCTGTGCGATCTGAGCGATCTGGGTGAGTTGAAATGTGGCAAATGTGGGAATGCCCCATAAAAACTCCACCCATGGAGACCACATCCCGCTGCTTCTGTTCGTTATTATGACTGACTTTGGTGATTAGATCATGGAAAACTTAATTCGAGCCTCTGCTAATAGCATAAGTTAGATTTAAATTATATTAATTAAGCGAATGCCTGCTCAATTTGCGTAATTATAAGACAGCTTTAATACGTGGCTTGCGGGTTTGAACTTAAAAGTATACAAAATTAATAGAGTATGGTAGCTTCTAAATATATTCTAATAAATTTGTACTTCATTTTTTGTCAACTTCTTATTAAAGTCTTAACTTTATAGATTACAAAATAATTAATCGATATTTTGAATAGATTTAAATTTACATTTAGTAATTACATTAAAAGCACTTTCAATAAACTATTTTACAAACATTTTCTATCTGATCTCTCGAGGATCTTCCTCTACATAGATAACCTATTTACACGTCACAAATCCTTATCATATAGACAACACTTCTATATTATCAAGTTGCAATTGTTTGATTATATAATCGGGGGGAAACAATTGCTATTTTGTGTCATTCTTGTTTTAGCCTTTATCTTTATAGATTCAAGATTATCATATCTTGGGTCTCATAGAGCAATTGAGTCACAAGGATTACCAATTGAGTGGCAGAATTTGCCAACTGGGAGATACAGTCTTATAGTTATCGGATCAGTTTTAGCTTCTGATTTCGGGGGGCTTCGCTTTCGGATTCGGTTTCGTTTTCGTTTTCAATTAGAATCTTGCGCAACTTCTAGAGCCGATAAGGGGTTATATTTATAGACCTAGGTGCTTCGCTGATAAGTGGGGGGCCCATGAAAACCGAAACCCAAACCGATTATTCGAAGGGGCAACGAATCTTTATTCAGTACACATGGGGAAAATTAGAAAATGCGGATTTTAGTGGTCCATTTCGAGTGCTTCACTTGCCGGAATGCATGCCGGAGCCCATGTACTTGTCGAACAGATAGTCACCCACATCCGTCTGGGCCTTTTCCAATTGGCAGATGTAGTCGGCCAGGATTTTCTGGCCGTCGACCTGCTCCTGCAGGAAGTTCGCCTCGATGAAGTCGCACAGATTGGGATCCGATTCCTTTCCGGCCAGCGAGTGCAGATCCAGCAGATGCCGGTTGACCTCCAGTTCCATTTTCAGAGCCACCTTCAGGGCATCCAGGCTGCTGGCGAAACAGGGCTGCGGCTCTGGTACACTGCTCAAAACGATGAGACCGCCCCGCTTGTTCATGTACTTCATGATTTTCTCCGCGTGCTCCCGCTCCTCGGCGCTCGACTTGAGAAAAAATCCATGCAGTCCCGGGGAACTGATATCCGAACGATCGAAATGGTAGGCCTACGGGGATTAAATATAGTATTTATATAGCCTATTGTACGCCTGCAGTATTTTGTATCCACACAGCGAAGAAATATGTTAATTATTTATCAATTTAAAATAAAATTTTAAGATATACATTCGAATTTATAAGGCTTTAAAAGTAGGTATAATTATTTAATATAATTCTTTTATTTATTTCAATATAAATACAATACTTATTTATATTAAAATAAAAAAAAAGTTAAAAGTTTAATACAAATTCAAAATAAATGTCAAGAAATACATTCGAATTTATAGGACTTTATAAAGTAGGTACATTTATTTAATTTTTTTTTATTTATAAAAGTAATGTATTTATATTGAAATAAATTAAAAGATCATTCTTATAATCTTGAAATAAACATATCATTTAAGATCTCATTTTAAATTTTTTATTATTTTTTGTATATATGTTGTGTTATATATTTTTTTTAACCTTTAAAATATTTCTATATTTTTCTTCACAAAATGTCCAAAGATAAGATATAATATCAACATCATTTGAATAACCAAAAATGATTTGGGATCTAAGATCTTTAAAATCCTCTAAATAACACAGATTTTTTCGCCATAACTGGGTGTTTTTTTTGCAAGATCTCCTTGCTACACCCAAGGACCTCTCACTCCAGGATCACTCACCATGGCCAGGTACTGGTGGCAGGCCTTCAACTCCATGTTGATCTGGTCGTTCAGCTTCTTCTCGCAACTTTTGGCGAAGTTCTGACGCATCAGCATGCACATGTGGCGCCCAATGTTGCGGGAGCACAACGCCATGTCTTTTCAATATATTTACTTTTTTTGTTTTTCGGAAATTTAGAAACCCCAACGATTTGAATTGAAAGCCAAAACACAAACAGTATGTCCGAATGCCAACTGGGTCGGTTTGGACAGGTGTCGAGAGATCCCCAGATCCCCAGATCTTCGACATCGATCATCGGGATCTCGGATCTCCCCGATCCAACGATCAAAAAAAAGAAGAAAATAAAAAAAGCCGTGGGTTGGAGTTCAAAGTGCTGCCGGCTCTGATTTCACTTAACTTCCACTTAGCAATAGTGTGTACACAATAGCACTCAGTACGTATGTACCGTATATAGGTATGTATATAAATATATAGGTACCTATATCTGTGTCCAGATATGTTTGCCTTAACTTCAACAAGTACACACGAACACGGACACACTAAGTAAACGCAGTTATTGTCTTTTATTAAGTGAATGGAAGACGACTTGTGTCCGAGTTTAGTATAATCTCGTTATACCCTTTCACAGGGTACTGACCTGTTTAGAACTGAGAATAAAGGTGGATATAACCGAATATTTAGGTCAGGGCTTAATTATTTTGTTACTTTTAATATCTCAAAAATCCCAGTAGTCCCGATAATAATAATAAATATAATGCGGATCCCAATTCTTATCTATAAGTTATTAGAAAATATTTTTAATCAATCGTCTATGTTTCCTGGGCATTTTTAAGAGGTTAAGGGAACTGGCAATTTGAAGATCAGAGATATAGGGTACAACAACTGACCCAACCTACCCTTACCTCACTACAAACATCCACTCATTACGCACATTAAAAGACCAACAAAGAAATGGTGACTCTTGAGCCATGTGCGCCTCATAAAAAGGCAATAATAAAGATATAAGTGAACATTTTCACCGACACACAAAAAACCGAACCGAAAAATAAAACACATAAGAGTTATGCAAATCATCGTTAAACTGGACAAAGGCAATTTCTTGACGGAGGTTTTAAAATAATATAGATTTCCATTGGTGACCTAAAAAGATTATTAATTTATAAAAATTGTTTTTATATTGTTTTTTGATAAACAAAATTTAACAATTATAAAAAAATGAGTTCATAATACGGTTCAATATAGAATGATTAAAATTATATTACATTTTTTTATTTTAATTTAAATTATTTTTGGTAATGCTACAGAATTTCTACAGAAACAAAATCCCCCAATAAAAACTCAGCTAATTTCAAATTCCCCTCGGGCAGACCCTTAAAGTTCAAATTGGGACATGTACGACAACTTCGGCGACACTTTTACATCACCTCCAAAATAATGGCAAAAATCCAGTTTGCGATGTCATAAAAACGTGCAACAAATTATTAACATTTTATTAAGCTGCGGCGTCACAAAAAATTATATACGTAGGTATATCCGACGTGTTAAACAAAACGCAAACGTCAGCATATGGAGTACAAAAAAAAGCCAACATAATTTGCTGAACATGAGGTCGAAAAAAGCGTATGCCATAAGAAAATATTTAATCGATTTGAATTGTTGTCGGGAGAATGCCCTTCCAAAGAGACTCTGAAAATGGGCAGGCAGTTTATCTATTAAATTTTGAAATTTGAAGAAAACTCTTAGATCTTTTGAATAATTTTTCAAATGAAATACAGTAATTTTTAAAGATTTTCTGTTAAAGTAATAATATTGAAATGATTATTTTGTAACTTTGGAATAACTTTGATATTTCTCAGAAAATATTTGCAAAATTTTTAAGAGTATTCCAAGCTCGACCTATTGAGAATATCACGTGTTTTTTCGCTCACATAGTTTAATTCAATAAATTGTGCTTTCGATCGGTGGGGATAATTCCAAATACAAACGAACGGTGTATCGGTTAACATTTCTTTACTTTTGCTGCGCCGGGTCATAATTCCCAATGCGTTTATTTATTTCAATTTAATTTACGAGCGGGCAGCCGATCGTCTGGAATTCACAGTCACAGTGCATTGAAAACTTGGAAAAGCGAGGCAGTGTGGCTATTTGAGAACTTTCCTTTCCACAAGTCACGCTAGAAGTTGAGCTTTGCAAAATATAAATAAATAATATAAATTAAAGAGTGGCAATTTGAGTTGTTGGTGTGCGACGAGTTGAGTTCACCGATAAGCGGAATAATTCAAGCCGAATAATATATGGGTATATATAGGGCGGCGGTCGAAAATGGCAGCAATATATAGTAGGCAGTGTGGAATGGGTCATTGCACCCGGGAAATACTTTAAACAATATGTGAAACAAATGCTCGGTGTTAATTGCACTGCTCGCTCGGAAACTATAACTGGTTGATTAAGAGGTTTCTCGGGAAGTTAGAAGAGTCGTTATGAGGCACACGTGTTGGAGAGGAGATTTAGGGAGATTTCTGCGACATGTGTGGTATTGAATATTTACCCTTAACAGTTGGAAACTGTTCTATAACTATTCTAGAAAAAAATATGTGATCTTAAGTTGAAATAGTCCATTAAATCAATTTTTTTTTAAGTTTTTTTTTAAGGATCTCTATTATTCCTAATTATAAGGTAAAGATTTCCTAAATTAGGGGTTTTTATTTTTTAGTAAATTAATTACAGAGACTTTTGAGATGGCTTTCGCTTTAATCAATCCTGAGCGAAGAAATTCTGGGTAGTCGAGTGAGGCGCTCCGGCGATAAGCAGGAAGGTCAATAAGCCTTATCAGCACTGTCCGATGGCCGATGCCTGATATACGAGACATGTGCCCGATGCCGCCGGACGACTAAACATTTGCATTTTATTTTTTTGGCTACCATTTCACAGAAAGCCGAGGAGGCGCCGCAAGTCGAAACAAGACTTTGTGGATGCGGATTTTTATTTACGTTTTTAATTTTAAGCCCATGACAAAAACCCATGTTCCGCAAAATTAAATCACATAAGTTTTAAATTGTCAAAATTCATTAGAAATTGCAAAGATCGAAAGATTGACAAAAAAAATAAACTTGTCAAAAATGTTAGAAATAATATTAATTATATTATTACATATATGCTCATGCGGAAATGGTAATGGCTTTTTTAAAGCACTTCTTTTTACCGTATATGAAGCAGGATGTAGGATAAATTTCTGCATCTGCAATTCAATATTTAATAAATTAATTTCTATTGGGAATAAAATTAAAAAAATATTTTCTGTTCAATTAAAGCATCTTTTCAAAGTTTAAATTAAATTTAATTATAAATTGTGTAATATGTTAAAAAGAATTTGTAAAATTACCTAACATTTCTACGGATATATTTAACTCAAGATTTTTACCAATTTTCATACAGTGAACACTTCTATTTTTAGCACACCTTTTTTTAGTCTCTTCTCCTTTTTTTTAGGACTGGGAACAGTTGACTTACCGGCTTTTTGGCCGCCAGCGGCTTGTTGATGAGGTTCAAATGGGGCTCGAACTCCTGGCCGAATCGCTCGATCAGCAGATTCTCGGCGGCCTCCTGGGGACACTCCTCCTGCTGCACCAGCTCCCAAATGTCCTGCGGAATGTAGAAGCTGAGCAGGAGGCCCAGGACCAGGCCGATGACAAAGTAGTGATTCCGATTCAAATTCGTAACGGGCCTCCGCATGTTTCTCGTTCCTGTTCCCACTTCCTATTTCTGCCCCCACTTGAACTTGACCGCCGGCTGTTCCCGTTCCTGCTTCTGTTTCTGTTCCCACCGCGTGCGAGCGAGACGGCCAATGACGAGGATGTGCGTGCGAGAGTGCGAGGGAGAGGGTGCGACTGGGAGTGTGCGAGAGAGAGCGAGAGCGCGGGAAACAGGAGCTGTTTTTTTTGTTTGACCAATTTGTCATTTGCACATTTTCGACCACTTGTTGCTGTTGCTTTCGCCTCTCTCTTCGTCTTTCTGCTTTCGTTTTACTTCTTAATTTGGCACCTTTTGCCGCTCTCTTTCTTCGGCACGCACTTCTTCGGCAGCTCTTTCATTTTCGATACATTTCACACACTAAAATCGCTTTTCTTTATTTACACCAATTGGCGGCAACAGGCGGCGGCAGGGCGAAAAAAAATAATAAAAAAATTCGAGCGCGAATCCGGCCCGGTTTTCCGCTTTTCCGCTGCGCGCTAAGTAAAAAAGTAAACAATCTTGCTTTTTACTAGAGGTGGAGAAAGCATCGATGTTTTAAATTTTCTCGATCGATGTTTTTTTGCCACAATCGATGTTTTGCCCATCACCAAGAACGACGTAACACCGGCTCTCCGTCATTAGCTCAGAGAAGGAGAAAGTAACAGCGATCTATCGATAGGTCCATCAATGCATCGATGGTTCTTAAACAGGGCTACTGGTTTTTAGCCCATCACCAAGGAAAAGACAAACAGGTGTGTGTACTCGCTAAGCCAAGAGGCTTACGTGGAGTTTGTCTCCGCTAAATGTCGATAAGAAATATTAAAACAAATATTTCAGGCGTTAAACTTAAACTTAATACTTGAAATAACTTTTACTGCTTGAACTAAACGTTGAAAGCTTACAAATTAACTTCTAAAGGGGTTAAAACAAATAAATGTGGAAGGTATATAAGCCCATTAATGTTATTTTCACGGAAAATATGTATAGCTGGTCCCTCTGCGTGCTTAGGTATTTGATGGTCACACTGGAAAGTAGCGCAAACTTGCAAACGCATGTCTTGAGTGAAAATTTGTTTACGCGGTTTTGGTAAAAAATAATGCCTTTAGAAATATATAAGCGGCATAAACTAGCCTGCTGGAGGCAAATTTTGACAACAGTTGGCACCGATTCAATTCCGGACGAACAATGGGCCCAAATTTACCAGGGTTTCATGGCAAGCTGGGACAACCCGTATTACATCCAAAGCAGCACGGTAAGGGCTAATGGGTTTTCTCCTGGAAATCCTATTTTAATTGTTTCCTATTCAACACCAGGATCCAGAGGACCCCATAAGGCCAGAATATCTGGTCAGACCGACAGAAGACGGCGAGGATACCCTTTCGGAGACGGGAGAAGTTCTCCAACGAACTAGTTCCAAAGCTCCCAAGAAAGGAAAGAAAGGAAGCCCCAACTAAAGGCACAGACCCCATGAACAAGAAAGGTCATCCAATGGATCACTACGAGTCAGGTGATTTTAAATCAATAATTTTTGAATAAATGAACCGAGATTAAACATTTTGTTTTAAATACTTTTTGATATAATAAAATGCTTTACTGTATATTTTTGGGTTTTGACCAAGGACCTGAATTAAGGAGTAGAGTATCGTATGCTTCGCTTGGCCAAGGCTCACTGTACTTTTCTTACAATTCTTTTGCATTCTTGAGATTTTAAATGAATAATTTTTGAATAAATGGTCCGAGATGAAACATTTTGTTTTAAATACTTGTTGATATAATAACAAGCTTTACTGTATATTTTTGGGTTTCGACTAAGCCAATGCTCACTGTACTGCCCCTGCGCATCGGCACCTTTAGCATGGGCAGTGTGCTTAGCTTTTTGTGTGTCGCTTTCGGCGCGTAAGACTTTTAAAATTTTTAATTGCCCGCTCCACTGTCACTTTTCTTCGACTCCGCAGCCGCTGACATTGTAAAAGTTGTTTGCCATTGTTTTCACTTCGTTTCCAGCGACCACAATTGATGGACCGTTTGGTTGGCGATGGGAAATCGCCATTTGGCAATTCGATTCCAATGCATCTGCCGCGAAGTCGCTCTAAAATGGGTCAACAGCAACATCGCAGCAGCAACTGCAACATCACAACAGCAGAGCTTGGCTCCTCGGAACGCCCACTCCACTCACCAAAAACCGAAGCTGCCAAAAGTTGCAGTAGGTTTTACCTGGTTTCTACTGCCTTGCTACCTATTCATTTTTTTATTTAGTAAAAATGTTTTAAATGTTATTTTCGTGAAATAATTCTTCAATTTGCTAACTTTAATATATTAGCTTGTCTATTATTGTAGCTCTACAAATAATCTTAATTAAATAATTACCTAATTAAAAATCGTATTAAATCGAAAGATTTCATATTCATATAAGCAATAAAAATTTATTTAAAATGTAATATACATATATTGTTATTATTTAAAATTAAAATTTTAATACCGTATCGTTAAATTACGGAGCGTATTTTGAAATATAGTATTTTATAATTATTTAAATAACAGTTAGACATAAAACCTGAAAAGAAAGGACTTGTATTTAAAATTAAATGTACATACATAGGTGTATTAAATTAACTTTTTTTAAAAAAGATAATAATTTTAATTGGTTGAGCTATTGCATTTTAAACCATTCTTCTTGTTTTTTTTTCTTGAAAATGTACCCATCGCTAATTTAGATTTATTTTGTTATTTATTTTATTATTTTTATTTTATTATTTTGTAAAATTGGTAGTTATGATTTTCGAGAGTATCATTAAGTGTTTATTTATTCATCCTCTTTCTACACTGATTTATTTTTTTTCTAATATTTTTTTTTTTTTAATTTTTTTAAATTTATAATATTTTGCCTTATGGTTACCTATTTCTATTCCAGGGTATCAACAGGTGCCTATTCACCCACCTGCGTTCTGTGCGTAGCTTTTGCTTTTGACACATTTTCGCGGCTGTCTCGTTGCCGCCGACGCTCAAAGTTGTCGTTTTTTTCATTTTATTTTTTCTTTTTTCATTTTCAGCTTTTTGTTGACTGTTGCCTGTAGTTTCTCGGCTCTCTTGGCTTTTGGCTTTGGTTTTGGGCCCGATCGATCAGTTAGTTGCTGACTTTGCGCGGCAGCGAGCGGTTTGCATTGCGATTGCGGTGTGCCGGTTGTTAAATCGTGAATCCACTTGAGTACATATATCATCGGTTGCGCATGCGCATGCGCCTCGTCGGAATCGGAATCGGTGGGAAAAATAGGCCTTCCTTTGCATTTTGTTTTTGTGAGTGTGGAAAAGTGAAACTGACCAGTACAAGAAACGAAAAAGGCAGACAGTTCTGAGTGCATCATTTTAATCGTGCTGCTGTGTCCAAAGTTGGGGGAATTATGTCCGCAATATCTCAATATGATTTTTAATTTATTTATTCAGATTTACATGCCCAAAAAACAAAACTTAAAAATTTTAAAACTTATTTTAAATGCTTTAAAATTATTTAATTACGTTTTATAAATTATTTATTTTTATACCATAGATTGGATTTGATTTTTATTATTTATGTGGTTAATTTGTTATTATTTCATACTTGATTTTTTTTGCTTTTTTATTTAAAAATATTTATTGATTTTTTGTGTATACATTTATATTTTTCTTTTTAAAATCAGACGATTCTTTATTATTGTTGATGTTGCATTCTTGGTTAATGTTGTCCATTAAAGTGGCGCGCAAGTTCAAAAGTGCGCACTCATTGGGGATCCGCGGATCTGTGGCAAATTCCCCGAGTTGTTGTAGTTTGCTGCCTTTTATGGCCGAACTTGATCGAGAAGTTGAAGAGTTTTGCACTGGAAAATATCGGAAAAATTAAGAAAAAGATAACCCTGAAACGGGTTAAATTAAAGATTAAATGCATTTACATTTGATTTTTTTTTAACTTTTTAGTCACAGAAAAAACAAAAAAATATCCATTTAATTATTTGTTATTTATTTAGTAGTATTTATATATTTTTTTATAAAATTTTCAATAGTAGTATTAAATTTAAGACCAAATGAAACATTCTATTTGAATATCATGGTGCTTAAAAATATTAATTAACTAACTCGGCTCGTTTTCAAAGGTCATAACTTCTGCAAGCCATGAAAGAGTGATATTAAAAAAGGCTTAGCTTATCACAAAAGTCAGCATAATTGAGCTCTTTTTCGGTTTTGACCATGATACGGATCATAAAGTTGGTTACGTCTAGGCCAGCTCTATAATGTACCTTTTATACGGCCTAAACAATATGACTGTTTTCAGTTTGGGAATGGGAATGGCTATAATGGCTTTACGAGAACGGCCATAATGACAATCGCCGGACGGATTAGCGGGCAGCTGTGAAGTGCGACTTGGATACTCTTCCCCCGCCCCCTTCCCAGTTGCATAATCCATGGAGCTTACGGGTCCAAAACCATGCCCATCCATGTGCACACTTCTCATTCGCATCTTCAGCTTTCCGTGTGCCACAAGCGCAGATCAAAACTGGAGCAAATTAACCGAGATTAAAGCCCACAATTAGGTGCCCAATGTGAAAGTTAAGGCAGATCCGTCGATCCGAAGACACCAGCTGGAAACCTGTTGCTTCTTTTTATTTTCTGTATTTAGCCGCTGGTGTTGTGGTCGCCGTTTATTTTCTTTCTGTTTTTTTCTGTTTTTGTGGCTCATCTGCAGCCATGGCCACTTTTACTGCACTCCCTCTGCCGCGGGTAAAATACAAGAAAATAAATAACAAAGGCATTGACAACTTGGCAAACCGACGCTTGAAATACCCTGAAAATTAGATTAATTTATAACATAAAATTTGGTGCCAAAAGAAAAGTCTTTTGAAATTGAATTTATTGTTAGTTTGAATTTTCTTGCTTTAATTTATTAATTAGTAATTATTAATTTAATTAGTAATTTGGTAATAAGTTTGTATACTGTTTTCATTTTTGTGATTTATTTTTCGTAGAGCATTTTTCCCTAAATGGTTTCTCGTATTTTTTACCATTTAAGAATTCCTATTTTTAGATCCGAAAACTAAGTCATATTAAATTGGCTTTATTTTGAATTTAATTAAAATTATTTAGCAAATTGGTAAGAAATTTATAAATTGTTTTAATAGAAAGGTGTTATTTTCTTGTAATTTGTGGAGTATTTTCAAGAAGAATTTCAAATTTTTGGAGTCAATAATTAAGTCGTTTTAAATTAAAATATAAACTCAATATTTTTTTCTTCTTTTGAATTTAACTAATTAAATAAAATTAATTGGTATCCATAGACTGCCTTTCATAGGGTATTTGAAAAACAAAAGAAAACTTTTTTCTTTTTTTTGAGTTTAGGTTTGGGCCATAATACGCTTCACTGACCTATGCCAAGGCCCCCGAGCAGCTGACGCCGCGTTTTTATTTTTATTTTTATTTGTATTTTCATTCCTATTTCTCTTTTGCACTTTTGAACTCGACCACAACTCTCGCCGGCATTTAAAGTGCTTGGCTTTGGCGAAAAATCGCATAAAGTCGTATACCGACCAAGTTCAAGTTGGCCAAGTTTCGTTTGGGGTTTTTTTTTTTGGACCTACGCCGCCGGAAGTCTCTGTCGTGAGGCACTTAAAAATGCAAGATTCAGCGCATTAGAGATGATCTCGAAGACCCACAGATCCATCACGAGAGACAGAAGAAATTAAACGAGAAACGAGAAACCCAGCGCTTTCATTATGATGATCATCTTTTTCTTTCGCCGGCATTGTCATTATCGTTGTCAGCATTCGGCATCTGGGGGCTCCCATTAGTCGCTATCAGCGATGAAAACTGTTAGAAATTTCGAGAGTAATTCCAACCCATTTATTATTTGACTTCGATTTGAGTTTTTTCCTTTGATTTCTTTTCATTTCCGATCCCAATGAGTTGACAATTTGTATGGGGCTTAATAGAAAAATGTGCTAAAAACTATTCTAACCCGTTTCCAAAGCAGTATGATTCATAAACTATTTTAGGGTGACTAAAAAAACGAGCTCAAAAAAATAATAAAAAAAATACTATAATTAACACTTTAGGAAATATATTTTTATACACCACCTGTTTTAAACAATTATACTTCCTGATTATAATAAAAGTTTTTAGTGACTTCTAGGGTTAGTACAATTTTCTAAAATAACCTTATTCTTCTTTTCTTTTTGGTTACTTATTTTTTAAACAGCTCTTAAAGTTCATAAATAATCTGTTCTACAATTCTTAATTGCTTAGAAGCCATTTAAATTCTGACCTAAGCAAAAGGTCTAAGTCGGCTCTTAATTGTTGTTGGAAGTAATTTAAACCAAAACCAGAACATTTATGCAGATTAATGACTATTCTGAGCTCAAGTGAAAAAAAATTACTAAAAAACACACTCAGAATTTATAAAAAAGAAAAAAACGATTTGTAAAGTCATTCCGGAACTTGAGGTTTCACAATTACTTATTGGCCATTTTTGATTTTGACTGATTTTTCCGCTGCAGATTCGTTTCGACCAAATTTTTTGGATCGGCTATTTGCATTTTCGTTTAGCATTGAACTAACCGGTGATCAGTCGTCAACTGCTCCACTTGACACACATATCTTGGTGATATTTCGTATCTGTGAATACACTATAAAAAAATAAATATAAAATATAACAAAATTCGAAAAAAAGTATTGAGTTGAATATTTTGTCATATAAAATATATAAATTACTCAATTTATAATTCTTGATTTTTTTTAAATTTGTTGATTTATATTTTTTTATTTATTATTATAAAGTACAGATTATAAAATATTAGATACTTAGATATTAGGTACAAATTATTGAAATTAAATTTCTTTTGTTTTTGCATTTTATTAAAAGAAGAAATTGTTTTTCTGTTACGAAATAATATTATTTTTTTTAGCGGTGGATTTAAGCCTTCTCTTTCTTGAAATTCAACAGGGGCGGGAGTAGGCGTGGCTGGGGGCAGGGAAGTGGAGTGGGTGGAGTCGTAGTTTCACGCAAGGTCCATTGCCACACACGCCACTTCTTTTTTTTATTTTTTGGCCGGCTTCGTCATCTCATTTATTGGCTGTATGCATAGTGGCCATTGAAATCGCACGAAATCCCCCATGGAATCACTTTCACTTTGCTCACCTACAGGGCCGCCTCTACAAACCCCCCCCTCCTTTCTTGACCAAAAAACTTGCGTAAACTTTCGTGGTTTCAAAACAAAAAATATGTTTATGCGATGACAGGTAAAAAAAAAGTATAAAAAAAAAACACAATAATAGTAATAACAATAAATGAATGAGGAGGCAGGGAAAAAAAGGTGTTATAGGGGACATTTTGGCAGCTTTATTAGCAGGTTCGCAGTGCGTGTGTTCAGGCCATTCGCCAAGTCATGGGGGTTTCAGTAGGGGGAATGAATTTCACAGGGATGTTTTTCTTTCTGCGGCTCCAAAGTCTCGTATTTAAGTGGCCAAGACGCCGAGCCACGCTAAGGTCAAGGGACAACTAGCCCGTGACCTTCCACCAAACAAGCCATGAGGTCAGTTGGCGGCGAGATTGCAAAAGGTTTCCAATAGATTGCCCATCAGAAAGGTTTAGGTGCCTTAAAGCCATTTAAAGGTTATTTAAAGAAAGTATATTAAATAAATGTGACTTTAATAATTTATTTATAATAAAAATAAATCTAAAAACTATTATAACCATTCTTTACTTAAAAACCAGTTTTAGACATTTTTAAAAATTTATTTTCATAAAAATAATTTTGTTTTATTTTTATTTATGATTTAATTATAATTATAAAAACTAGTATTTATTATTTTTAATGTTTGCAGCTTGCCTTTTCTTAAAAAGAATATTCTAGACCCTTTATAAATATCAGTTTTTAGAAATTTTTTAAAAATTTTTTTTTACACAAGTTTAAGCTAAACCTAAAATAATTTAATTTATATTTTATACTTATTAGACCCTTTATAAATATCAGTTGTTATAAATTTTCGAAAATTTCTATTCATAAAAGTTTAAACTAAAAATCAAACTAATTTTACTTATTTTTACCAAGTCATAACGAATTATATAAAGTTATTAAACTATTCAACAATGTCAGGTTTAATACATCTGCTTTTTTTTGGAGTCACTATTTATATAGCCCCAATTTAATTGAATATCAAACAATAGACTTTGTGTATATGCAAGTCAGCCTCGCCTAGCAAACCGATTAGTTGCAATCTGTATTCCCATGCCCACCTGTCGACTAACGAGTAATTGGCAACATATTTGTCAATCCGCCCAGCCAACCAACCAACCAACCGACCAACCAACCGTATTTGCCACAATGATAGACCATTGTCTGGCCGTCAACGCTGCGTATACGTAATGTGTGTTGCACGTATCCGCCCTGTTGGTTGTCTGCTAATGACAGGGCGTGGCTGATTCTTGGCCAGGGCTCGGCCTGATGCAATATATGATATATAATATATATATATTACGGAGAGGAGTAGAGAAGCGCGTGTCGTCACTTGCCATTGTTTTGGGTCAGATAGCTCGATCCTCTTGCTTTTTTCCCCGCCGCTGGGAACGAGGTCACCTGAGTCGCGGTTTTTGGCACCTGCCACTGTAGTTCCGCCCGCAATGCTGGGAAGTTGGCCAACCGGCGAGCGGGCCTCCAGGTCTCATCAAATGTACACAAGAAAAAAATCTTACAAGGCAGATTAAACTGGAATTTCCATGCGAAGGAATCATATTTATTTAACACTTATTTTTTTAGCATTTAAAATAACTCTTGATATAAATTACTTTATGTTTATACATTTTCGTAAATTTTGGCATTTTTTGCCTTCGCTCTAGCTAAAAAGTATGAGAAGCGCATAGAAGGGGGTCATTATTCAAATACCAAACAATGTAATTCAACAACAACTTAACTTTCACTTTTAAATATAATAAAAATATCTATTTTTTTTGTTTAAAAGTTAATTTAAAAATGTAATAAGTCATTACATAGAATGGTAAATACTGTTTAGATAAATGAATGTTTTAGCTACTTCTCTGTATGGCGTATGAGCTATTGAATTATTTAAAAACGTTTGGCGACGCCTTCAACTTTTGACACGCAGCCCCAGACGGCCAGCCCTTGACCCCTAAACCCTATCCCTCGGTAAATAGCTGTGCTTCTAGACCAATAGACCACTAGACCAGCGCGAACTTCTCCACCTGATTAATTAAAGAATAACAACAGTCGACTCTCACTCTCTTTCGCACTGGGAACAGTTGGTTGGACACGTTGTCGGTGTTTTTTTTTGGGAAGCGGCTCAGTCCAGCCGGCGATGCCTTAGTGGCAGCTCCTCCAGATCGTAGCAAAACACCACGCCAAGATGCCCTATAACCTCTGGCTGCGACGGCGCCTCCAGCTGCTGGCCTCGCTGCTCTTCTGCGGCCTCCTGGGCTATCTGACCTCGGAGGCGGTGGCCAAGCCCACGTTATCCTTCAGCTTGCCCCAAGGATTGCAGGGGTTCCCGTCGTTTCAATCCTTCACCCAGCAGATCATCGAGCAGCGCAGTGTGCGCCAGATGAAGACGTACAGGTGAGTGGGGAACCATTCAAGCTTAGCTAATAAACATGAGAAGCGCATAGAAAGGCCACTAGGCTGGGCAATTAAAAAATATGTCTAACTGTTTTTTAAGAAATATAACAAAAGCATAAAAAAATCAGCTTAATTTTAGAGAATTTAAAATTCCCACCCCGCTTAGCTAATAAATATGAGAAGCGCATAGAAGGGCTCACCAACTAGAGAGCAGCGCAGCGTGCGCCAGATGAAGACGTGCAAGTGAGTGGCGATCCATTCCATCCGGGCTGTGATTAGCAGTCAGCCAACGATCGACTAGACGGTTTCACTCGCCCGTCGAGTCCATTGCCATGGACGTCACGTATCCGCACGGTCGGACGCCTGGCCATGTGCCCATAACCGCCCCACGGAGCTCGAGCCAAAGCTCTCACTCACAGCCCTCACAACACTATGCACCGAAAAAAAAGCAACAGCTTACTCATCTTTAAATATTTCTATCATTTTGTTTAATGATATATATCACAACTTAAATAATTTTTTTAATATCTAGTTGAAATACCATTTAAATGCTAGTATCACCTAAAAATTATTGGTTTAATACGCAAATTAAATACTTTTTTCTTTCTGTGCACTCTCTTTTTCGGCAGCGGAAAGCGAGTGAGCAACGACTCCCTCATTATGATATACTATCACGATCTGACCATAGCCGTAACGGAGCTGGGACCCCAGAAGCTGCTACTCGGATGCGAGCTGATCGAAATCTAGTAAGTAATAGTTGTATTCAAAAAATAAACAATAATAAATAAAATAAAACAATAGAAATAATATTTACTATTCAGGCTAAAAGTGTTTATATTGTTATACCAAATAATTAGATTGACATAAAATATTTTTTTTAATTATTTTTTTAATTTTTTATGCACGAAATCAAGGTTTTCCGGAAGTACTTTTTTGAGTGATTTGCGTGGACAGCTGATCAAACAGAAAATCAACAGGGTATGCCCTGAATATTTGATTAGGCACATGATTTATCACGTTTATAAAAATTGAGTATGTTATACTCGTATAAATATAAAAGTTTTGGAAAATTAAAAATTATTTTTATTTGTAAAATCATTTTAATTTAATACTTGTATTGCTAATAAAGAAGAATGAGGCGTGCCTTCAGCTACGAAGTATGAGAAGCGCATAGAAAGGCTTTTCAACTAATGATATTCCTCCGTAATTTTTTAATCTATAGCAACGATAAGGAGGGCAAGATGCTGCTGGAGGGCCTCTCGCACTATAATCGCCCCCTGGAAATTAAATTCGACGAGATGCTTAAGCTGATGGATCAGTGCGAGCATGTGGACAAGCTGAGCTACGCCTCGCGTCACAAATCCAAACTGGAGGGCAATGAGCGTAGCAGTGGCGGCGGAGCTGGCGATGCATCCTCAACGGGCGGAGCCAACGATGGAGTCGCCCTCAAGCTGGCCACCAATATCTTTCCGCGCAGTCCCTTCTCCCTGCTGAGTGGCATTATTCCAGGTAACTTATTAACCTATAAAATGGGACCCAATAATGTTTTGATAACTCCCCTTGACAGGCACAAAATGGTGTGGCACTGGCGATATCGCAGAGACATACAGCGATCTGGGTAGCGAAATGGCCATGGATCGATGCTGTCGCCAACACGATCTGTGTCCCATTAAGATCCGAGCCTATCAGCACAAATACGAACTGATGAACGATTCGCTGTACACAAAGTGAGTGGGGAAAATGGTTGGGGAATTACTTAAAATACTTAAACTTATGTTATATAGTCAACCATTAATAACTATGATTTAAAAACATTTTAAAGAAAATTATGATAGAAATAGATTAGTTGGATACATTTCTGTTCTTAATTTTACAAGTAAATTTTTTTCTTTTAATTAAGGAAATACCTAAAATACCATACGATACTATAAACTTATGTTATATAGTCAAACATTAATAATTATGACTTATAAACAGTCGCAAACTCACTCTCATAGAGATCAGTCGTGCCTTTCTATCATCGTCTCAAATCCAAAGCTTATCTTACAAGCCACAACAACAATTCGTAAACCCAACGGTAACTGCAAGTGCAAGAAGTGCAAGTGCCAAACATAACCTACGCGCCATACGTAGCATGATGGGAGACCCACCCGACCGGGGTCCACCTCCTAGCCATAGCAATAACTTGGAACTCTTAGAAACTATCGGCCCTAAATACATGACCATAGCTAGATCAGATCAAAATCTCGATCTAAGCAACATCTCACCATTCTTGATCAAGAAGCAAATTGATTTTACCTGCAGTGGTGAAGTTGATGAATGTAAAAAACTCAGAAACGGAACCCTATTAATTAAAACAAAAACAAACATTCAAGCAAAGAGACTACTCCAACTCAAAGCTTTTGCCGATATAGCCGTAAACGTACAAATCCACAACTCTCTTAATTTTTCCAAGGGAGTCATATACAGTAATGACATTAGAGGTATCGACGTTGACATAATAAAAAGAGAACTAGCTTCTCAGCGAGTCCACGATGTTAAGAAAATACTTAGGAGACAAAACGGTATTCTCACAGAAACCGGCCTCGTAATTCTCACCTTTAACACTCTTACTCTCCCGGAATATATTATGATCGGTTACCAGAAAACAAATGTTAGGGAATACATTCCCTTACCCCTCAGATGCAATAAGTGCTTTAAGTATAACCACATCAGCAATGCATGCAGAAACAACAAACTTTGTTACAACTGCGGTGAAGAATATCACTTAGACCCAAACACTAACGACAAATGCACAAGACCAGCACATTGCGTAAACTGCAAAGAGGACCAAACCGCCGAACCACACAACTCTGTTAACCGTAGATGCCCCATATTTAGAACACAACAGGAACTCACAGCAATTAAAACTACAAAAAAATGCGACAATAAAACTGCTCTCTCTATCCTACGATCCCGTAACACCGCCACCACACCACACTCATACGCATCAATAACTAAAACTACCCAGCAACAACCAACTACGCTCACAAACCATACAACGCTCACAAACCATACAACACAACAAAACTCTGGACCTCAACATCTCAAAGGACCCGATCTTACTCAACAACGACTAACTAGATCCAGGACTACGCCAACATCTTATGCAGACCTCACAACCACACATAGTAACTTAGATAATCTAAAACCAACCCAACCCCCTAAACCAACCCCCAGCACTGTACAAATCCTACCGCTTACCACATCCAAACGCACGATCGCAAACCTCAAGGCAGCAGCCAAAGCCACCACAAAAAAAACCAAAAAAAACCCAACTACGCCTGAGAATGCTTCTAGCGACTCATGCGATATGGAAATTAATTAAACACCAATCACCCTTACTAATCTAGATTAATGCTAAAAATAATTCAATGGAACATAAAAGGATACAAGAATAACTACCAAGAACTTCAAATACTCCTCAAACAATTTAACCCACATATAATTGCCCTACAAGAAACCCATATATCTCTCACAGAATCTCTACCTACCCCTGTAAACTTTTCTCTTTTCTGCAGCCAAAACACTAATGCATTCGGTGGCACAGCGCTTCTGGTGCATAATTCTATCTCTCACACCCAACACCAACTGACCCCAGAGTTTGAAGCTATCGCCATTCAGATAGATTCCAAAACTAAATTTACACTAATTTCCACATACATCTCTCCCAACAAACAATTTCGCTCAAACAACTTACTAAACGTCTTTTCTCCTACAAACCTACCCACTATAGTCCTAGGTGACTTCAACAGCTGGCACCCATATTGGGGTTCCCCCAGAGCCAACTCTAGAGGCAACATTGTTGCCAAATTTATAGACCGTTCAGACTACATACTCCTTAACGACAAATCTCCAACACACTATTCCACACACAACACATTTACACACATAGACCTCTCTCTTGCCACTGCCGACATAGCGCCTGAAATAACGTGGAAAGTGATCGATGATCTTCACGGAAGCGATCATTTTCCCATCCTTATAACTATGTTCCCAAACACTTCCTCTCCATCCTTTGTCGCCAAACCATCCTTTAACCTGAACAAAGCAGACTGGACTCTATATGCAAACACCATTACGCAACTATGTTCCTCTACACAACCTTGCAACAGCAACGTTAATAAAGAAGCCGCACTTATTAAAAAAACACTTATACAATCTGCTCACATAGCTATTCCACAAAACACAACCTTTTCCCTCAAACACACTGTTCCCTGGTGGAATCAGGAACTTACAAAGCTAAAAAATACAAAAAACAATAAATTTAAACTTCTTAAAAGGAACATAAATACGATAAACATGCTAGAATTCAAAAAAGCAAACGCAAAATTTAGAAGAGCTATTAAAGAAGCTAAAAAAACATCATTATACAACTTCACTTCTGAAATTAACCCTAACTCTGACCCATCGAAAATGTGGGCCAACATTAAACGATTATGCGGCCTCTACCCTTCTAAACATATCCATGCCATACATAGCCCCCTAACGCAAACCACTTCTACATGTCCCTCAGAAATAGCCAACACCTTCGGCGACCTATGGTCAAAAGAAGCTGATGACTCAAACTTCTCCGACACATTTAGAACGAACAAAAACCTCACAAACAATTATATTTATCACGAACCTTGTGATTCAGCCACTCAAATAGAAGGCAACATTTCCTTTATAGAATTTCTATCCGCACTCAACTCCCTAAAAGGCTCCACACCTGGCATGGACCGGATATCCTATTCCATGATCCAGAATGCGCCTCCCTCCTTTAAAATCAGAATTCTTAACCATTTTAACTATATTCTAGATTCCCACATCCCTCAAGCCTACAAAGTCAGCCTCATACTTCCCATCCTCAAGCCACAAAAACCACAAATCGAACCAAATTCATATAGACCAATTTCCCTAAACCCATGTCTTGCTAAAGTCTTAGACAAAATCATTGCTAAAAGGTTGTGGTGGTTTGTTATCACTAACAAACTCATTCACAACAACCAGTTTGGGTTTAAAAGAGGAAAATCTGTTCTAGACAGTCTACTATACGTAGACCACCTAGCAACAAGATCCCTTTCCTTAAAACGCCACCTATCGATTGTTTCCCTGGACTTTTCCAAGGCGTTCGACAAAATTGGTATCCACACTATCATCCAACAACTTCAAGAATGGAAGCTAGGCCCCCGAATCATCAAATACGTAGCTAATTTCATGACAAACCGGAAAATTATTGTCAAAAACGGTCGAAATATGTCCAACAGTTTTCCTCTCAGCAACGGCATCCCACAAGGTTCTCCCATCTCAGTCATTCTATTTCTAATATCTTACAACTCCCTAACAAATATTATCGCCCGCCCGAGGCAAATCCAATTCACGGCTTACGCCGACGATTTCCACCTTATCATCCAACACAAAAGAACGAAAAATCCCACCGTAGTTCTCACTTCCCTCTTCCAGGCAATTAAAAACTGGTGCTCCTACTCAGGAGCCTCCTTATCGGTTGATAAATGTCAAAGTCTTCATATCTGCCGCAAACACAATTGCAAATCAAAAATTCGAACCGGCTCCATTAACATTCCGGATTCCAACAATACCACAATTCTTGGCCTCACTCTAAACAATAGATACAATTGGACAACCCACATAAATAAATTAAAAACCAAACTCAGCAAGCCCTTAAACATTATCAAACACCTTTCCAGTCCCAAACACAACACCAACACATCCACGCTTATCCAAATAACTAAATCCATCCTCATCTCCAAACTGGACTACTGCCTTCCCATATACGGGAACGCCCCTACCCACCTTATAAACAAATTAAAAACAACAATACACTGCGCAATCAGAGCAGCACTAGGTGCTTTCAGGACTACTCCAACGAGCAACTTGCTAGTAGAAGCCAATATAGGCTCTTTCGACCACCGTATAAATCTCCTAACAGGCAAACTATCGAAGAAACTCATACACTCATTTGACACCCCCTTAAAACCCTGACTAAAACCTCAAAAAGAAATTTAAATACCCTAGCACAATAGACCGAATAATTAACATATGTAAGGAACTTCACCTTCCCTTCAGTCCAATTAAAAACTATCATAACAAAAAGTACGACATGGAAATTATAAATAAAGCCACCAACACAACACTATCCAACTATAATAAAGCAAACACGCCCCCCTCAATCTATAAACAACTTTTCGAGTCCTTAAAAAACACCATCCCCTTTCACAACATATTCTACACCGACGGCTCTATGGCCAATGGTATAATTAGTTACAGTGTAACCAAAGAAACCTATCCCATCAAAGCTGGACTCCTTCCCCACTATTCATCCGTTCTCTCAAGTGAACTTATAGCCATCCACGAAGCCGTAAAACTTGCATTGAAAACCCCAGGCAAACATGCTATCTGTTCTGACTCCCTCTCTGCTCTAAAGTCAATCATTAACTCCAACAACCACTCCTATTATCCCTCATCTATAAGAAACCTTATCATAAACCACTTCCCAAAAATCATACTAATTTGGATCCCCAGCCACATCGGCATAGTAGGTAATGAGAATGCTGATAATACAGCTAAAGAGGCCCAACAATTTCCGCTCATCTACACCCCAAACAACAACTCCAACGACATCTCTCACTTCCTAAAAAACCACAACAAATCTAAACTATCGGACATACTAAACAACGTTTCCCCTTGGTACAAAAAAATTCTTCATTCTTCCCCTCAAACCATCGTTAACATATCCCCCAACCAATCTAGGAAAGCTCAAATCCTCATTAACCGACTCAGGTTAGGACACACCAAGCTCACAAATGCTCACTACATAGATAGGTCACTTTCAAATACGTGCCCGTTCTGCAACAACTCGACAATTAGCCTAAACCACATAATAATCAGCTGTCCCTCACTATCCCAACACAGAAGAGATATCTTTAACTCCGAAAACCCCATTCACTTCATTGCAAACCCTACTAACGTCAACATCAACAAAATCATCTCGTTCCTCCGTATAACTAATTTAGCACATACTATCTAAGAAAACTGTCCCTTAATAAAATATTCAGTCGAGCCGAAAGCCTTAGTTGCTAGCGCTCTAAAAATCCCCAGTTAGCTCATAGTTTTAACTGTAAGTTAGCTTTATATAAATAAATAAATAAATAAAATGACTTATAAACATTTTAAAGAAAATTATGATAGAAATAGATTAGTTGGATACATTTCTGTTCTTAATTTTACAAGTAAATTTTTTTCTTTTAATTAAGGAAATACCTAAAATACCATACGATACTATAAACTTATGTTATATAGTCAAACATTAATAATTATGACTTATAAACATTTTAAAGAAAATTATGATAGAAATAGATTAGTTGGATACATTTCTGTTCTTAATTTTACACTTAAATTTTTTTTTTTTAAATTAGGGAAATACCTAAAATACCAAACTTATGTTATATAGTCAAACATTAATAATTATGATTTATAAACATTTTAAAGAAAATTATGATAGAAATAGATTAGTTGGATACAATTCTGTTCTTAATTGTACACTTAAAACTTCTTTTTTATTTTTAATCTATAATCCACAGGTCCCATTGCATCTGCGACGACATGCTGTTCTCCTGCCTGAAGATGACCAACACCTCGGCCTCGCAGCTGATGGGCTCCATCTACTTCAACCTGGTGCAGGTGCCCTGTCTGGACGGACGGAGCGATCAGTACAAATTCCGGGCGGCCAAGGAGGGATTCTAAGCGGGGGAGAGACCCGAAAATTCAGGGGGTTTCACTGTACAGGAGGTGGGGAGGCAAGATGAAGAGGAGGGGAAATCGCTCTATTTATTGTTTTACAAATGATGACGCCCGCTTTTTATTTATCGAATATTCTGTTGGGTTTACAGTTTACGGTTTACATTTAGCGTTAACGTTATCTAGGATAAGTATAATGTAGAATCTTGCAATCTTTGTTATACAAATACGAATATAAATATAAATATATATATATATGTATCATTTATTTGATTAGCCGTCTTTATTCGTTACCAACGTAAAAAAAATTTGTATGTATACATATGGGACAAGGAAAACACGCACACATTTTGATTTATAAAGTTCCGATTCCATATTTAACTACAATGCTTAACCTTAATCGTTGTCTCTCTCACAATATTGCACAAAAACAAAACAACGTTCGACGATCAAAAAAAAAAAGGGGGAGAAATATATGTATAATATATATAAAATTTTGATTCGCGATCACGGGGAATTTTGTAGTTTTTAGCAGGCAGCGACACTGACTAGTGGAGTCTTTCTACATTTCTGGGTTGTCTTTGCTGATGGTAATGGGTCTAGGTACTTGGAAGGGTCTTCGAGTCTTGGAGAGCCTAGAAGATGCTGGCCACATTGGGGCCGGGCTGCGAGTTGGTCGGAGTGGGCTGGGTGGGCCGGTCGATATCCTGGTAGCTCCGCTGCTGGCTGGTTGGGAAGACCGAGCCCGTCTGCAGGGTGCCGCCCCTGGTGTTGAACTCCCGATAGAGCAGGGCCACGCTCACCGGCCGCAGGATCAGGTTGATGATGCTGAACGCCACGGCCCATCCATCTGAAAATTAGGGAAATCGAGTGCGATATCAGTTTTGGATAGTAAGTATATCGAATTCAGCGAAACGATTGGGCGGGGTAGATGACTTACTCATGATACCGTAATGAATAGCAATGCTGACTATATCAAAGAAAATGCTAGAAGCGTTGATGACGAGCGCCTGCAAAGAGATACGAAATGCTACAACGTGAGTTTGGAGGAAATGGTGGAGTTAGGGATAAAGGGTTAAGGCTGTTTTATGTCCCTAACTAATGAGAATTTTTATTTTATTTGGCTAATAATTATTTTCAGTACACCCTTTTTATAGTAAACTTTTAGGCTGATTAGGAAAAAATACATAAAAAATTAAAGGCCATTTAATTGCTAAATATGTGGAAAAAAAAAAATATATTATTTAAATATACCGATTTTTAGAAAATCAAAACATTTGATTGGATATTAAAAAATCGTTGTTTCTTACGTTCATTAAAAATTACTAGACGCTGGATTTGATCTAAAATCTTATTCAAAAGCGATTTCCAGCCGATTTCCAGCTGGTTAAAAAATGTTTTCCTAAAATCAAAATTAGAAGCAAGCCCAATTTAATTTCGGTTTTCTTTAAACAATTTTTATACCCATTTGGAAAAATATGGTTTTAAAAAATTCAATTTTACATAAAATCCGATAACGTGTCCCTTTTCTGATAATAATACGCTTCGTAAAATTCAACAGCCAACATATGTTCGAATTCAAATTCCCAGACCGCCCGCAAAAATCCTTCACCCACTTTGCTCAGGAATCAAGCAGAACGACAACTCTTCAGGGAACTCCAAGTTGTGGCAAACAACAATTTACATATTTCAAAAATTAAATAAATTATGTTCATTGATTTTTCTTTTACAGTTTGGCCAGAGAGAAAACAATGGGAATGCCTTATGGCTGACGAAGGATTTGACATCGAGTTGAGTTCGCTTGATTAAGAGGCGTTGCTAATGGCTTTCCAAGGAAGCAAACAAAACAAGCACCGATGGCTGGGAATCCTGGCCAGGGCTTCGTTGGAAGCCTCGTTAAATGGGAATCGTAGTGCCCGATTTATATATAGGGGCCTGTGACCCGAAATGGCAATCGCGTGCATTGGGGGTCGGTCCTTCGAGGCGGGAAAAAACCCAAAAAGCAGTTGGAGTGTCGGCTTTTCGGTGGAGGTGGTCACTTTACGGTCGGCTTAAGGTCAAAGTTGAGCCATTTACCGTCTTTACTTACGGCTAACTCATCTATTAATACACGCATACCCCAAAAAAACTTTACACGCAATCCTCAAGGAACCACGGAGCTGTATGTGAAAATATTTATATTCATTTATTCGCACAGGGAAAAATTAAATAAAAAATGGGAAGTTTAAAGTCACATAAACAAAAATTTAATTTATAATATTTTGATATTTTTTAGGCCATCTATTTTAAAAACGTATAAAATATTTAACACAAAACACCTAGATAAATCAATTTTATCTCTATAATATAAAAGGGTTTCATAATATTTATATACCTTTTGAAGATTTTATAAAAAATAGTTTTTATTAAGAGAATTTAATTTTTTTACTGTGCATACTCGACTAAAATCCACTTTCATTAGCATACCTCCACGCGTTCAGATTCGGATTTGGTTCCGTTCTGTTTTTATTATTTTGGCCATGCCACTCGATGGTGTTCGGGGGTGGAGCAGAACATTAGAGATTAAAGATCGCGGCCGCGGGGAAACCTGTTATGGCTCAGTTAACCCATAAGCGAGCAAATTGATTGGCCATAAATGTGCCGCAACTTTTGGCAATAACCAAAACAGAACAAGAGTTTTCCCCTTTAAAATTATAATATAGGTAGTTTTTGTGCCAGTGAGTAAAACCGAAATCCCAGTTGTAAATCACATTGTGAATCAACAAAGACTTTGGCACTTGGATAACCCCAATGTGTTATCTTATCTATCACCCACCTATCTAAATTTATCTAATTCTATTTTCTTTTACTTTAATCTTAGGAACCTTTTTTTTCTTAGGAGAAATACTTTAATTGTATAATTTTGTTGTATAAATTATATTATTCTATAAGAACTCAAGGTAAAGGAAATACAAAATAATATTAAATAATTCGAGATTAGAATTGCAAGCCCAAGTAGAAAATTAATTTATTTTTGTAACCCCAATTAATCTGGTCGTAAAATAATTTGCTATGATTAATCGCAATAAATGCAGTGAGTCTATCGCAATCAATCACTGCAGTTCATTGTTTTAATCTTGATTTTCTCTCTGGCACCTGCGACTCGACTCGTCAAAACTATTTCGGTGAGAACATTTGTTATTTATATTTTGCATGTGTATGCTAATTGCCGATTGGCGCTTTTTCGCCTTTTCGAGCAACCGGTTTAGCCGATTTAGCAAATTTCGAGGTGATATCAGTGTGAGTTCGTCTAGCATTTGATTAAAACCTCAGCTCAATCGCCATGGGGAAGTGCTGGGAGAATATTTTGAATTAGTTGGATGAACACAAACACAGACCGTAATACTTATAGGCACCCTTATCATCAAAACAGACCGTTCCACAATACTTTCATGAGTCACAATGGAAAGCTATTTCGTATGCCGAAGTCTTAAAAAGCAATGCAATCGGACTGCACTCTTTATATGGAAATGTTATTTTTGGAGGTTTAATATCATAATTTGTAAAAAAAAAATGTTAATTCTGTAGGTTAACCTTTCTTATCAGTAGGTTTAATATAAAATGTTTAGGAGGTGAAATATTGATAAAAAAAATTACAAATAAATGTAGTAGGTAAATATATCAATTCATTATTTTTAAAAAATGTGATATAAAAAAAATTTGCTAATGATTTAAACCAGTAAATATCAAAACATAAATTGTTTTAATATTTCAATGACAATATAATGATTTTACCCCTATATTTAGGGTATAACAAGCCAATAAATCGAATTAATTGAAGAGCTGATTCAATGGCGGCAATCAAAACGTAAATCAATTGATCGAACTCAAACTCGAATTTAGAATAGGAATCGAACTCGGGACTCACCGTTTGGACCGCTTCGATGGAGTCCTTGCTGTGCATCGTCCAGAACATGGCGATCAGGAATAGGAAGTTGTAGAACTCATACGCCCCGTGGCCCCAGGTGCCCAGCATGGCATTCGAGATGAAGAAGAAGTGCACAAAGGCCACCAGCTGTAAAATAGTAAAAAAGTGGGGGAAATGGGAAATTAGCTGGGGAAATTCATATGGTTATATGGTTATATGGTTATCTGGTTAACACATAAGCATAATCATAAGCGGTTTAGTGCCAAGTGAAGCCCCACGATTCCGGCGGCGAAGTTGCCAATCGCAGTCCATATCGTATCGGTTGTCACTTGCGGTTAACTTGGGGCGCTAATCACCGCCGCCCAGCGGCGACTGGCCATTAACCCAAGGAGGCCCAACAAGTGAGAGTCGAGTACAGTTGCGGTGATCACAATAAAAGCGGGTATTTTCTTTTTAGCCCTATTAATATTTGAATTTTTTTGGAATCAGACAGAGAAAACATTTAATTGTTAAAAATGTAAATAAAATAATAATAACTTACTATCTTCTGTAATAGTAATTTTGTGTATTTCCCTCTTTTCAAACCTATCTTTTTTTTCTTTAAATAAATACTTTAGATTTAATTCGCTGACTGAATAACTATTCTTACGCCCACTGCTGTTGCCCTAACTAATATTTATTTAACTTGGCTTAACTTTGACTAGACGGTTTTAATATTATTTTGGGCACAGCTGTCCATGTTTACAAAATGTATAATTTTTATTGCATTTTTACACGTAAAATAAATATTTGTTTTTCAACCACCCACTGCTATTGTTTCGACCAGATCTGTACAATTTCTTATCTTGCCCCCCAAAATAAATATTTTTTTGTTTTTTTCAGCTGTCATTACTTATGACCGCTTCTTGACAATTATTTATCTATTTTTTACATCCGCCCACAGATATTTTTACGGCCGCAGCTGTACCATTTTATCTCTTTATATGCTTATATTTTCCTCAAAGAATAAATAAGTATTTTCTCGACCGGATCTTTTTAGTGCATATTTTTTTTACCCACCCACTGCTATTTTTTCGGCCGCAGCTGTACATGCAGCTCTGCTTTGTGGGGGGTGGGACTGCCTGCTGGATGCTGGAGTGCAACAAGAACGGCATTTCGCCCCCCGCACTGCTCACTCACCTTCACTCGCACAAAAGGGGAGCCCATTAATTCGTTGAGGTCGGTCATGATGTCGCTCTCTCTCGCTCTCGCGCTCTCTCCCAAATGCAGTTGCAGCGGTTACCGCTATCTCCTTCGTCCCTCTCTCTCTCGCTCACTCCTTTTGCTCTCCCACGCAGCGGCGGCGACAGCAAGAACAAAAACAAATAACAAAAAAAACGGGAACAGCTGTTTTGTTATTTTCGTGTGCAACAATTTGCTGAATTGTTCCACTTTGAGTCTATTTTCACTTGCAATTCACTTTCAATTGGTGCAAAAAAGCATTCGCAATTGTTTCACTGTGTGCGGTGTGTGTGTGAGCGCACTTGTTGGTCTTCACTCTCCTTTATTGTTTTTTTTTTGCGATTATTTTGCAATTTCGGTTTTTTGCGGGGGGCGTTAACAATGGAGGGCACCAAATTAGTGATCGGTTGCACAGCAACAATTATCAGCTAGGCGCAAAAAAAATAGACCGTTCTTCCTTGTGGACAACAGCGCAACGCAACACGAACGAAAACCCACGAGCAACGTCCAATTTTGTTTGAATGTTTGAATGCAGTAAATGGTGTTAATTTTGGGGATGTGAAAAGTACGATGAAGTATCGATATATCGATATTTTTGAATAAAAATAAATATTTTTAGCGCGATACTTTGGTCACCTGATAAATTGAATATTTTTTTTGGCATTTAAGAATTGGTCATACTCATCTGAACTTTTTTTCTTATTTTCTTTTCTTGATTTAAATATATAATTTAAAGACCGCGACTTCTTTGGAATAAATCACTTGGTTCAATATTTAACATTTACTTATTCCAAGCTGTCTAGCTGATGGAAATATCGATAGTTATGGTGCAGCGTTTTTCTAGCAGAAATAGATTCTTTTTTGGGCCATCTCCATTTACCGCGGTAATTCAAATTTAAAAGTAATTTATTTTTTATAAGAATTAAATTGAACAAGTAGATTTTATTTATTTTAACCAAGGATAATGATAGTATAATTATATATATATATATATAGGTGTCTAAATGTATGTAACTTATATTGACATTGACATAACCAATTGTGACATCCAAAACTTTTGCAGCAATTTTAATGTTTAACATACATTTATTTATATTTTCCAAAAATGCGATGTTATGAAGGATCCATTGGCGAATGGGTAGTAGCCGCTATAGAGAGTATGTCTCCACCCCACGTGGGCCAGACATTTGATAACTCTCTTAACGTGGTTACCAGGCTAAGAGAGCTGTTAAAAGTCTGCACAAGTGGGGTGGACACAAACTCTCTACCGTTGATCCTTAAATTGAGTCACCAATAGATGTAGTGTTGTCCATCGCATCCTTATAGAGTTCGCATCGCATTCTGATATGGGAATTGAGGTGGCTCCGTTAATCTAGTTGAAGTCCAAGTTGATAGAGACCTGGCACTTTCGCTTTACCGTCGGATTAAAGACCATAATCCAAGTTCTATGCATTTCGGTGGGCGCCTACATGGTCTTCATGCCGGTTGAATGGTAAATCACTGCTCCTTTAGACTACCGGGCTGCATACAGAAAAGTCCTCAGATCTGGACAAATCCAGTAAAGAAGTCCTGGTGGAAAAAAAAAAACTAATTAGCTAATTTAAAATCAATAGATTTAAAACTCACACGGAAAACGGAAAAAATTAAGAGCGATTTTACTGGTTTTTAGATACGATTCCTCTAACTTTTTGAAGAGCAAATGGAATGTGATGGTAATCCTGATCAAGATTAATTGTGTACACTTTATGGGTTGGCAATACGGAATATAATATGGTTTCTTTCTCACCCGTTGGAAATTTTTGTAATATTTTTTCAATTTTAATTTTAAAATTTAGTTTTTTTTTTTTTGAAACGAAAATAACGATGTGCTTCGTAGGAGCTCTGGTGGCTAACTGAATTTTTACGGATTGGGCTCGGCCTTATATAGCCCAGTTCGATGACAACTAGTTTCAAGGCTAGTGTGATTGGTAATTTTAAAATTTTTATACCCTTGCAGAGGGTATTATGATTTCAGTCAGAAGTTTGCAACGCAGTGAAGGAGACGTTTCCGACCCCATAAAGTATATATATTCTTGATCAGCATCACAAGACGAGTCGATCTAGCCATGTCCGTCTGTCCGTCCGTCTGTCCGTCTGTCCGTCTGTCCGTCTGTCTGTTTCTACGCAAACTAGTCTCTCAGTTTTTGAGCTATCGGGACAAAACTTTCGCAAAAGTCTTCTTTCTATTGCAGGTAGTATATATGTCGGAGCCGACCGGATCGGACAACTATATCTTATAGCTCCCATAGGAACAATCGGAAAAAAAAACTTTAAAAAATTCTAGCTTCGGTGTTTTTTGAAATATTACCTTCTACTTTTGGGGATGTTATTTTTTAAATATTTCTGAATTTCGAATTAATTTTTTAAAAAATCGGACTACTATATCATATAGCTGCCATAGGAACGATCGGAAAATTAATGGAAAAGTAATAGGAAATAAATTCAAGCTTCTTTGGTTTTTATTGTATTATCTTCTACTTTAGGATATGACTCTTTTTAAATATTTCCGAATTTCAATTTTAATTTAATCAAAATCGGACGACTATATCATATAGCTGCCATAGGAACGATCGGAAAATTAATGGAAAAGTAATAGGAAATAAATTCTAGCTTCTTTGGTTTTTATTGTATTATCTTCTACTCTAGGATATGACTCTTTTTAAATATTTCCGAATTTCAATTTTAATTTGATCAAAATCGGACGACTATATCATATAGCTGCCATAGGAACGATCGGAAAATTAATGAGAAATATTAGAAAATTGAACATTTTTGCGATTTGTTAATTAATAGGAATGATCTGCAAGGGTATATAAGCTTCAGCTGGCCGAAGCTAGCTTCCTTTCTTGTTTTAAATAACATTATTTTATTAAAGAAATATTTTTTAAAATATTTAAATTTGCCAGAAAAAAATGAGCAATTTTGAAAAGCTTACTATTAGCCTGGCAGAGTTTTATCAACTTATTAGGAAGCAATAACCATATAAGATCCAGCCCGATCGGACAACTAGAACCCGTAACTCCCATACTCTCAGGAATATAATTAGTTTTTTTTTGTGAGTTAATCAACATTTTTGTTTATTTTTGAGGTAAAATAAACATCTTTGATAATTCAAATGTGTTCTACATTATAATCTTTCTTTTAATTCAAATCAACTTCAACTTGCGCGCCAAAAAGCTAGAGCAGGGTAATACCACCTATCTGGTATTTCCAGTCACTTTTATTTTTGGTATTTAAATAAATACCGCAGGGAAAAGTGCCAGCCAGGGGCGGTATTAATTAGGGCATTTTGCGGTAGATTCAGTAGGCGACGAACGAAAACGAATCCGAATCCGAGCAGCAACTGCCCCCCACCCGTGACGCCCCCGTTCCCCAAGCAGATCACCGGGAAACGGATCACCGTCGTCGTCGTCGTCATCACCTGGCAGAAGGAGCAGCAGCGGGAGCAGGAGCATCAGCAGCGGGAGCAGCAGGAGCGGCCGCAGAATGGCCCAATCTCATCGGGATCAGCGGGGATCCGGGCCACTGCCCAATAGATGGCTCTACTGTCCGCGGAAGAGCGACTCCATCATTGCGGAGCGCTTCCTGGCCTTCAAGACGCCGCTGAGCCAGGGCTTCCAGGACAAGATGCCCATCGAGTGCACCTTTCGCCCCGAAATGCTCTTCGATTACTGCAAGACTTTGAAGGTAAGAGCTATATATCCATATGTATATATATCCATCAATCACTTGAATCCTCTGCAGCTAAAACTGGGCCTCTGGGTGGACCTGACCAACACGAAGCGCTTCTACGATCGCTCCACCGTCGAGGAGCGCGGCGCCCAGTACATCAAGCTGCAGTGCCGCGGACATGGCGAAACACCTTCACCTGAGCAGACGCACAGCTTCATCGAGATCGTGGACAACTTCATCAACGAGCGGCCCTTCGACGTCATCGCCGTCCACTGCACGCATGGCTTCAATCGCACAGGGTTCCTGATCGTTTCCTACATGGTCGAGCGCCTCGATTGCTCCGTGGAGGCCGCTTTGGCGGTCTTTGCAACCGCCCGTCCGCCGGGCATCTACAAGCAGGACTACATCAACGAGCTGTACAAGCGCTACGAGGACGAGGAGGACGCACCGGCGGCGCCCGAGCAGCCCAATTGGTGTCTCGACTACGATGACAGTAATGGCGATGGCTCGCTGGCGGTCAAAAGGCACTTTGATGAGGCCAGCTCATCGGGACAGCAAACTGCAGGAGAGGATCAGCAGGAGGAGGAGCAGGAAGGCGAGGAGCTGGAGGATACAGAGGGCGACGCCTCCACCTCCGATGGGCAGCCGCGCAAGAAGCGTCGCCGCGAGATGGTCGTGAAGAATGCGGCATTTATGGCCGGCGTGCCGGGTGTGCGGCAGGTGAGCGACCAACCCAGGCTAGGAGACCTCCAGAGGAAGGTGCAGGACTGGTGCCAGTGGAACAAGAACGGCTTTCCCGGCTCACAGCCCGTCTCCATGGACAGGAACAACATCAAGCGGCTGAGTGAGATCCCATATCGCGTGTCCTGGAAGGCCGACGGCACGCGCTACATGATGCTCATCGATGGACGCGACGAGGTGTACTTCTTCGATCGCAATCATTCGTGCTTCCAGGTGGAGAACGTGGCCTTTGTGGACGGCAAGAACCTGAATGATCATCTCGAGGGAACGCTGCTCGATGGGGTAATTAATTAATAAAAAATCTCCCAATTAAAACTAATTTTAAATAAAAATCCCTTAAGGAAATGGTGCTGGACAAGATCGGCGAGACGGTGACGCCGCGCTACCTCGTCTACGACATTGTGCGCCTCTCGCATCGCGATGTCCGCGACGAGCCCTTCTATCCCAATCGACTGGACTACATCAAGAAGGAGGTGATTGGGCCGCGCATTCTGGGCATGAAGCATGGGATTATCAATCAGCGTCTGCAGGCCTTCAGTGTGCGCGGCAAGGATTTCTGGGACATCTGGATGTCGGCCCGCCTGCTGGGCGAGAAGTTCTCGCGCACGCTGGCCCACGAACCCGACGGCCTCATCTTCCAGCCCTCCCAGCAGCCCTACACCGCTGGCGTTTGCTCGGACGTGTTCAAATGGAAGCCCCACGAGCTCAACTCGGTGGACTTTCGGCTCAAGATCATCACGGAGCGGGGCGAGGGGTGAGTATTGTATTGAATATTGAGTATTTAACACACTGTTAAAAACCTGTGTTATTAACATGTTAAATGTCAAGGTATTAAGTTCAAAAAAAGTTATTAACTTGAATGTAAAAATTGTAATGTTAGAAACATAAATAACACACACATGTCAATTGTGTTATTTACACGACGTTTTATTAACACGACATATTTTTTACACAGCGTGTTTTTAACACAATGAGTTTTTGACATTAAAAAATGTAAAAAATTCACGGTTTTCCAGAGTATAAGAATTCATATATGCTTGGAAATGGTTAAAAATAACATATAAGATATCATGCCACATATTGGTTTTTCATTTTCCCCTCGGCTCTTTAATGTCAGTAAAATGTAATTTTCATTTGTGTAAAAAACATCTCGTGTTAAAAGCATATTGAGTAAAAAACACAAGTGAGCTCTGGGTGTTATCAATTATTTTTCACATTTTAACACTTTTGTTTTTGATTTTTATTTGGTTGTTAATTTTCCCTTCGACTCTTTAATGTCAGTAAAATGTAATTTTCATTTCTGTTACAAACACAGTGAGTAAATAACAAGTCGTGTTAAAAACACAAGTGAGCTCTGTGTGTTGACAATTATTTTTCACATTTTAACACTTTTGTATTTGACACACATGTCAACAATTTTTCATCTTTTTAACAAGTGTGTCAAATTCAGAACGCTGGCTAGGATATTATTGATATATATTGATTCTAACCCTATTGTAACTAATCCCCGCCAGGCTGCTCACCAAGAAGGTGGGCTTTCTCTACGTGGGCGGCCACGATGCTCCCTACGGACGCATGCAGAAGTTGACTAAGGAGATTAGAGACTTGGACAACAGGATCGTCGAGTGCACCATGAACCAGTTCGGCACCTGGGAGTTTATGCGCGAGCGAACGGACAAGAAGCACCCGAATAGCTTCAACACAGCGCGCTGTGAGTGATGGGTTCTCCGTTTTATAAGCTATATCTTAATATATATATATCTTTCAGCCGTTGTGGAGAGCATAAAGCAGCCCATCACGAAGGAATATCTACTGAACTATATCGCGAGCTATGGCTTTCGCGACGATCATGCCATGATGCCGCCGCCGCAGAACGCCCATCCGCATCCCCATCCGCATGGCCATCATGGCCACCATGGCGGCGCACCGCCTGCCCAGCGGCGGAACCACTAAGGCGGCAGCTAGCTGGTTGCAGCACCACACACGCCTCATCTCTCCATCAACTCGCACCACTGAAAACCCGACACTAGGAAATTAAACAGACCCCAATAAATATAATTCAAACAGAGAATTACACTCAACACTGTGTTGGCCGACAAAACGATGCGAATTTATGTATTTCTGGTGGAATTTAGGTGGAATTCCTTATAGCTCCATGACTAACAAGTAGTTAATAGTATAGAAATCCTAAATATTTGACTTTTTTAATACCTTTAAATGAATATCTCAAATAATTTATGTCTGATTTTAGCTTAAATAACATTTAAATGCCTATTAAAAGCAGGGAAAGAAAATAATAATTATTTTTTTGTTATTATTTTTAAATTGAATTAAAAATATAAAAAAATTGTATTCAATCTTTCACAAAAAATAAGCATAATTTAAAAAGAAATTAACAAAATTAATTAGTTGCACTCTAAATAAATTTAATGACATTAAAATGCTTATTAAAAGCAAGGAAAGAAAATAAACATTATTATTTTTAAAAAGAACCCATTTTTCTAACTAGAATTGAAAATAGAAGAAAATTTTATTGAATCTTTCACTAAAAATCAGCATAATTTAAGGAAGAAATTAACAAAATTAATTAAGAACAACTAGCGTTTATTTTTGTTTATTTCCTGTTATTAAATAGCTTGGAAAAACATAGAAAATTGGCTATTTAATTGAAAATTTCTAAAAAAAAGACTACTTTTAGACTACACAACCTTCGTAACCCTTATGTGCTTCTTTTATTTAGAAAATATACATTTAGCACCCACATTAAAGGCAAACAATCAAGGGGAGTAGGTATCATTAGCATTAATAAACAATCCATCAGTTGAGCAGGCTGCCATTGTCGCGCAGAACCTGCGCCTCCAGCTGTCCGAGATGGAGGAGGGCCACCAACGCGGCGCCCTGCTCCGCCTGCTTCTTGTTCTTCTCCCAGAAGGAGCTGCTGAAGCGCTGCCCGTCGAACGAGCAGATCGAACGGAAGAGCTTGTCGCACTGCTGCGTCTCGTAGGCTGGCGGGGATTTGCCCTCCCGCGCGGCATGAACATAGAGCTGCGTTTTCGGTAAATGATTGTCGCTCGGGTAGGTGGAGCGCAGAAAGGGCATGTTGCGGCAAATGACGTTAGAGTACTCATCTCCTGAAGAAATCTCCTCCAGCTTCTGCCGCTTGGCCTGCGCCTCTGGCGGCTCCACTTCCGCCCTTCCCGAGTTGCCCAGCGTGCGGAGTTCGCGCTGCCTCCTTCGGCAGTAGTCGCCCAGCTGCCAAATCTCGCACATCTGCTGCAGCGTCTGGCACTGCAGAAAGCGCTTGCCGCGCGGCGTCTCCTGCAGCTCACGCAAAATGCTCTGCACACAGTACTTGGCGTTGTGCGGCGCATTGTCGTAGTCGACGCACAGGCGGAGGTATCTCTCGATCAACTCATCCATGGGCAGCAGGCCCTCCTTGCGAAAGATGCTCACATTTATCTGGGCAGCCCGCGCCACCATCACGCTGGCTGCTCCGCAATCCGCCTGAAATTTGCGCAAATCCTCGTGGCAATGCATGGACTTGGAGCCGCCATTCGCTATGATCGGTATGTCCACCGCCTGGGCAACGGCGCGCAGAACTTCGGGATGCGCCGGATGCTGCGGTCGCTCGTCGCGCGTCCTCGCATGAATCCCGATCGCTGCAATGCCCGTGGCGGCCAGTTGCTGGACCAAATCAATGGTTTGCGCGACATCCGGCAGGATGCGAATCTTGCAGGTGACCGGAATGTCCAGGCCGGAGCACAGGGTGCGCAGGATGAGGGCCGCCTTGGCGGGATCCGAAAGCAGAGCGGCGCCCATGCCGCCCTTGATGGAGAACTCCTTGGGGCAGCCCATGTTGATGTCCAGCCCGGCAATGTCGCGCTGCAGCAGCTGGCCCACGGCCAAAGCGCGGTTAGGATCACTGGTGCCCAGCTGGAGGACCAAACGGGAGGTCTCCTGGGCGCAGGTGCGAAAAACTATGGTGCCGTCGGAGGGATCCACAAAGTCCACGGTTCCCAGGGCGGCTTAAGGTGGGAGAAGGTATTTCTTAGCTAGGGAACATATAGATAAACCCATCTACTCACCATTTGGCCTGCGAATGCTCTTGATCAGCTTGAGATCGACCAACTCCTCCGTGTAAACGATATCCGCGCCCATTTCCAAGGCGAGCAGTCGCATCGGCAGCGTGCCCACGCGCACCATCGGCGCCAGGATGAGCTTGTCGCGGTAGTCCAGCCGCTGGCGCGTCTTCATGCTGATGCCGAGACTCCTCGCGAGGATCTGGATGGGCAGTCGCATGGATTGCATGGATTTATGGAGCGAATCGAATCGAATCTTTCAGCTGTTCGCACGCCGTTTTTTTGGGGGGTCTATGCACGCGATTGGGCCACCTCTGCACGATGCGACCATTCAGACATCATGCAGTTTACGATCTACGTTGTTTACATAGCAAGAGATCTTTGAAACTTAAAATAAAAAATTAATAATAAAATAAAACAACGTTTTTAGAATTCTTTTGAGTTTATTATATGGATTGCATGGATTTCTGGAGCGAATCTTTCAGCTGTTCGCACGCCGTTCACTTGGGCGGTCTCTGCACGTGATTGGGCCACCTCTGCACGGTGCGACCATCATGCAAAGCACGATATTCGTTGGTCGGTGCTAGGAAAAACTATCGGCATACTGATTCTGACAACTTTCACATCCCTAGTGCGCATTGTTGTTTTGTTCACCCACTTCGTCGCGTCGCTTAACCAAATTGCCAAATTGTTAACAAAATCGCCTCGCACGCACAGTAGCCGGTCGAATTCGAACTTGGACGCTCTGAACTGCGCTCGCCAATGAAACGCAAGTGAAACGCGGCTGGAGTTGTAAATAAACAAGGGATTTTTTTTTTGGTAAGAAAGCCAGTAACAAACGAAATCACGAAAGTGTGTGGGTGCAAAATTAAGAAATAATCAGCGGAAATTAGGAAAATTCGTACTCAAAAACGCACAAATACACAGATACATATAGGAAAAGGAGCGCGCGGTAAAAAAAAAAAAAAAAAAAACGAAGAGGAGAATAAGAAAGGAGACGGAAAACGCCGACTGCGAAAACGGCGACAAAGTGAAATTGATAATAAACGCATAATTTATTTAAAATAATAACCAATCAGCGACGGCAGTTATAAATAATTAAGAAAGTCAAGAAGAAAAGCGAAATGGCGGCACTAAACAAATTCACAAAAACGCTGTCCATTGATGAAAAGGCCGAGATCAAGGAGAAATTCACAGAGGTAAGATGACAAAAAGTGGCGAGAAAAATAGCGATATTCAATCAATAGGAAAAAGGTGGCGAATTATAAAAATTCAAATTGAATGACTCACACACACACACACGCACGCACGGGGAGCAGGAAGAAAACCGTTAAGCGGTGCATGTGGGCGTCGGCGTTGACAATGGGGAGCAGCGACGCCGACTGCGACGCCGACTGCGACGCCGGCAGCGACTCTGGCCTTCAACAGTGCAAAGCAACCCCCCATGAAGTGGACTCAAGAGAAGAAAACACAGGGGCGGCTCCCAAGTTGAATTCTAGGAGGGGTCTAACTATGCAATTTTTTTTTCTAATTTGTAAATTTATTAAACTAAAAATTAAAGCGGGATAAATTATTCTAAAGGGAATAACATCTAGTATATAACCCCTTGACCCCCCGCCACTGGACAAAGCATCGCCAGCTAACGGTTAATGCGCTGCGCCCGCTGCTGCATGTGCGTGTGCGAGGGAGAGGGGGCGCGTGCGTGGTTGTGGGTGGGAGGGGGCCAGCAGATGAGCAAACAAGTTTCCCTTTCCCGCATCTCTTATCTCTCGCTCGCACAGTGAAAAGACGTTATCACGAAAGAGTAAAAAAATATTTTTACTTTAATTTTCATTTATTTTTTAAGTTTTTTGTTAGGAAAATGTTGAAAGAAAACCATTTCTTAAATGATCATTATATTTAATACATTCTGTATTTTAATAGATTTTCGTTAAACACATTATCTTTATTTACAAACAACAAAATTATCAAATGGTTTATAAACCTTACACCATAAAGCACAGATTCCACTGTAGACACTCTTCTCGGCTTATTACCCACTTGATAAAGTATGCAAATATTTCTTATCGCAGCTGGAGAATTTCCCTTAAGTATTTACAAAGAAAAAACTTTTTATTTTGGGTGGTGCCCTTTGCAACTGCAAAGCCAAGAACAAAATCGTTAAAAGCAGCAGCGCATGCGTCGAAAAGCGCAAGTTCAATGTCGCTGCCCATCCTCCCATAGTGACTAATACTAAACAAACTAAAAATCGCGAAAAAAAAGATGCAAACAGAAGAGATAGACCGAATATTTCTCGTGAATTTCGCGAGAATAATATTTGGGCAAGGCCAGCGTTATAACGTTAACGAATAACGTGCATTTATTTCCATACCATGACACCACGTAAAAGTCGCTCTGCTGCCACCCCTTTTTTTTTTGAAGGGGGCGGCGGTGGGGGGAATACCGTGGAAAACCAGTTTCTGCTTAAACTAAAAATAAATATAAAAATCACAGGCCAAGGCACATATACAAGCCCCGTCACCGGGAGAGCGTGAAAAACTACGTCTCAGCTCGGCCGCAGCTTCAATTCAGATTCAGATATCTGCTCTCAAAGCCAAGACAAGTCGGCACAGTGGGCCTCAAGGGGTTACGAGTGGGCGTCCCCTTCAATTGTAAAAACAGACTAAAAAGAATGTTTGATTTTAAAATTTTTTATAATATTTTACATGGGTTTTTCTTATTATTATTTATAAATTTCTAGATTTTAGACCATTAAAAAAAATACGTATAAAAAAAATTTTTTTCTATTTTTGCTAGCTAATTTAATGCTTCGACCCACCATGCAATTCGTCACCTTGGTTCAAGGGGCAACCAGAGTCGAGCAATTTTCGTTCAATTTTATGCACACACTTAATAGTTTACAATTGTTTCTTGCTGATTTCTGGCTCGCCTGACTTCTTGCAACCCGCTCTGTACTGTATTTGCCATTTGGCTTTTCGCTGAGCTCGTAATTCCCGGCAATTCCAGAACCGAAAAGAGAGAAATAATAAACGCCCACGCTGCAATTGCTTCGAGTGCAGGCCATAAAAATCCGTATATGCTGGAAGACATAAAAAAAGACTTTGCTTGATTGCAATTGCCAGCGGAGGGGAAAGAACGGAATTTTTCTTTGCAGGCATAAAAAAATCGGTTCCTAAAGATTCCGGGATGTATTTGATTTTTAGATATTAGATTATGAAAAATTATAGGTTTCGGAAATGGAATTCTCTTGATTTTAATAAATAATGCCAGATTTTTTTAGGTTTTCTTGTTATTTTAAATTTTAAAACGGTTTGTAGTATTTATATCCACTCAAGACTACCAGTCTTCTGCCGAGTGTACCACTTAAGGCAGCTCCTGTCGTAAATCGGTCGAACAATACGGGTCCATTGTGCTCGGGGAACTCCAATGAATCTGCATGGCCAACGGAACAATCTGCAAATCGCAGATTCCAAACGAGATCAGGATAAGTACTGGCAAACGGCATACATACATAATGGATGGGGGGCTGTGTGGGCGGGAAACAATCACTGTACTGATTGACACTTGAAAGCTAAAGTCTGAAATCTGTTTTTGTTATTCCACTATTGTTGTTGGCTGCTGCGATGACTAATACCGAATGCCACAGCTTGAGATGAACAACAAAAAAAAAATATATGAAAACGATAAACAATTCCGCACTCTTTTTATTTTCTCAATGAAGGTTGCATACTACGATATTGGAATTATAGTAAACAAACTTGTTTATCCCACGGGAACCTTGTTTGAAATTGCTAGCTGGTGATTAAGTGTTGAAGTAATACAGTGATTTCCCTCTGCTTAGAGATATTATTTTATTTTGATCTATAATGTTATTCGTTTTTTATACGTGAATTCTTAAAGTTAAAGTTTAAGCTATCCGATTCAGGGTTGCTTTCAGGATTAATGCTTATCGCATGCGAGTGGCACATTGTTGCCATTTGCTTATGTCAAGCAGACAGAGTTGCCACACCCACATACAAAGCGTTGCTTTTGTTTATCTTTCGTTTTCTTCTCGGGTTTCTGTGTGTTTCTTTCTCATTCTTCTGGTGTTTTTGTTTCTGTTTCTGCGTGGGAGTGTCAGTGTTAATTGCCGCAAAGTCCCGCATTTTGAGTGCCCCGATGTGAGGGAGATATGCAATGTGTTTTTATGGTTTATCGGGCTTGCATACTTGATAAACAATGACTGTAGAAATTTTAGCATTTCGATTAATATATGAATGAGTAATAAACCGGAAAATATGTATACTATAATGAAATTTCCTGGATTAAAATTTATTTTCCAAGGTACACATTTAAATTAGGAATCGTGGGACTCTGATTTGTAACCATTTATATTCCACGATATTTTAGATGCTAATATCTCAGCCGCAGCTGTGAGCTGTCTTTGTTGCATTGCATGTTGCCTGTGCTGTTTTCCAAAGTTGATGGGCAGGCACATAATTCATTTGGCTGCGTTTATTAGGTCTTTCGGCTGATGCTGCTGCTTTTTTCCTGCTTTTACTGTGTGTGCTCCCATTCACACAAAAAACAACACTTATTGTTGTCTTTTCCGAATATAATTCTTGGGGATGTTGCTGCAGCTTGGCCTTTATCAACATTGTTTTCAGGCCTTCGGGCCTTCAAGTGCATTTTGAGTGCAGGCTACTTGGGCACTTAGCGCTAAAAACGCTTTCTTTATTTATTTCCTTTTTGATTTCTTTGTCATTTTAATGCACATGCCAAAGATTTTTGAATGCCCAACAATCCAACAACCATCAAAAGTCGTGCCGCACAGTGGGTCGTGATCGAACGGCGATGATATCATATATACAAGGCCCAAGGAACACGTAAGTGTTACGTGATTGGGGAGTAAACAAATCGAGTGTTGGAAATTATTTGAGAGATATTTAAAATGTCGTTAAAAGAATATGGTTATTAAATAAACAAACTACATACTTCATCTTGTTTTAAGATGGTATTTTTGTTGGGAAATCCCCATAGCTACACTGTACAATGCCATCAAGAGTGAAAGTGTTCAGTGCAGTGCGTTGATTGCATTTTATGTGCGATAAGTTGCAGCTGCATTAATGCAACCTCTCCCTCACTTTACCACTTTTTCTCTCGCTTATTTGGTTGTCCTTTTGCTCAGGCTGACGCATTTTATTTCCTTTCGTTTTTATACCCTAGCTAAGGGTATTTCAATTTTCCAAGTTGTCTTAACATTTATTTAATTCCAAAATGATCCTGATAAATTGTATTCCGCTAAGTCATTATCTTTCTATG